TTAGTACGCATGGCAAATCTCTGTGTTGTGGGCGGTCATGCAGTAAATGGTGTTGCTGAAATACACAGTGAAATAGTAAAAGATGAAGTATTCAACTCATTTTTTAAGGTAAGCCTCAATAATTTTAGTAAAGATGGGCTCTTTGAAACTTTGAAACTTGATCTTATCATTAATCTCGAATCTTTAAATTTGGCAGTTGTGGCCTAAGAAATTTCAAAACAAAACAAATGGGGTGACACCAAGAAGATGGATCCGCTTCTGCAATCCAGATTTGAGTAAAATTATAACCAAGTGGATTGGCACGGAAGAATGGGTCTTAAATACTGAAAATCTGGCAGAATTACGAAAGGTAAAAGTCATATGAATTATCCATTTAGAGTTATGTTTACTTTAAAAAACTTTGCGCAGCACCTATGTTATAGTCATATACTTACTGGAGTTATTTGGTTTTATGATAGTTTGCAGATAATAATGATCTCCAAACCCAATGGAGGGAAGCAAAAAGAAGCAACAAGTTGAAAGTTGTATCATTGATCAAAGAAAGAACAGGATATTCTGTCAACCCTGATGCAATGTTTGATATACAGGTACTTTCCCTGCGTTCAAATTTATTTCTTGGTATATAGATGGCTGCTAAGCTTGGAGTATTAAATAATATTTTAGCATCAGGCAACGGCGAAGAAAATTCTTCTCTGGAAGGGAAAAGTTGGTCATGTTGAATTCCGTGATGGGTTGTAAACTTGTAATAGTCAATATTGAGAACTAGTTTGTTGCTGAATAATCCCCTGTACTAAGATTCCATTAGCCCATGATTGATGCCCTTGATATGGTTCAAATAATCATTCAAATATATGTTAATAGGGACTTGCAAAGCATAGCTGTTGACCTGTCAACTTTTGGTTTATTCGGTAGACAAAATTTCCTTGTGTTTTTCTGTAAATTGGAATGTTTCTGTTCAGGTGAAGCGCATTCATGAATACAAGAGACAACTTTTGAATATTTTCGGAATTGTTTACCGCTACAAGAAAATGAAAGAAATGAGTGCTTCAGGAAGGAAAGCAAAGTTTGTTCCACGTGTTTGTATGTTTGGAGGAAAAGCATTTTCCACATATGTGCAAGCCAAGAGAATTGTGAAATTTATCACAGATGTCGCTGCAACTATAAATCGTGATCCTGGCATAGGTGATCTATTGAAGGTATGGATATCTTGATAAAAATAATTGATTTTGCATACTTCATTTACTTACACTTAATATAAGTTGGCTTTGTGAAAGAACTCAAAAAATTTCTTACATGTGTGTATTTTGATTTGCTGTGAGTTCATTTGAATTACTGAACCACTGGATCATTGATTGTAGGTAGTCTTCGTTCCTGATTACAATGTCAGTGTTGCTGAATTGTTAATTCCTGCAAGTGAGCTCTCACAGCACATCAGGTAATTCAGCTTCATTCTTAATATGATTCATTTTTCTGTTCACATAATTTTTCTGTCTGTGAGTGGAAATGCAAAAGCATACTTACATGCCTGTGTTAATCACTACGTCTATCATTGTCTGCCTATGCAAACTCTGAGCACTAAGAATGATTGTTGAAACAGTTATGGTAATATCTAACTGTGTTAGAGGAAGAGTTCATGCTGCTGACTATGAACCCCTGCCCCCTTTGTTATCTGGGCCTTTTTAACAAATTTATTATTATTTCTTTGTAGTACTGCTGGGATGGAGGCCAGTGGAACCAGCAACATGAAGTTTGCAATGAATGGCTGCATCCTAATTGGGACTCTGGATGGTGCCAATGTTGAAATAAGAGAAGAGGTTGGAGCAGACAACTTTTTCCTGTTTGGTGCTAAAGCTCATGAGATTGCTGGGCTGAGAAAAGAAAGAGCTGAGGGGAAGGTTTGTCTTAATAACCAAATTGTTACTTTGTTCTCGTTTTCCTTATAGAAATTAATCCAGTGAAAATGTTTCTGCCTTAGAAGTAATTTGGCAGAGTTAACAGATAATCATTTATTTCTTTATCTACTCATTGTCTCATGGGATTTTGACCTATTCTCTCTTTGATGCAGTTCGTTCCAGACCCACGTTTTGAAGAAGTGAAGGAATTTATCAGAAGTGGTGTTTTTGGGTCGTTCAATTATGATGAACTGATTGGATCCTTGGAAGGAAATGAAGGATTTGGCCGTGCAGATTATTTCCTTGTGGGCAAAGACTTCCCCAGTTATATAGAATGCCAAGAGAAGGTTGATGAGGCATATCGGGACCAAAAGGTGAGCTATGGATGCCCTTGTTTGTTGTTACACATGTCTACTTGATGTTGAGACTTTGTTAGTTTGTGCCTAATGTTTTTAACTGTTGTTTGGGGCAGAGATGGACAAGAATGTCAATCCTGAACACAGCAGGCTCATACAAGTTTAGCAGTGACAGAACCATTCACGAATATGCCAAAGACATATGGAACATTAGCCCTGTCGAATTGCCATAGAAGTTTCTCCTTGTGAGCAAAGACGGCCTTGCCTCGTGGTCGTGATGGTGGCCTTCGGCTTTCGGTTGCTATGCAACCATCGTTCTCTCTGTCTTTCTCATGTAAAGGTAAATGCTTAGAATAAAGGGTAGCGCTTGGTTGCTACATTACTATAGTATATGCTCCGAAGGAAAAAAAAGGGTGGTCAACTTATCCCAGATTAAAGCACCATCTCGTATGTATAGTAAATGCTGGGAACAAAGGGTGGTTGCCCCAAATAAGCAGCACCATACTTTAGCTGAGAATTCTAATTTTTCTGTTTTTCTTTCTTTTATATCTCAAATGGTCAACTTGATCGATCAATTATAAAATGAACAATAAAATGGAGATTTTATTGGCATCCCATTATTTGCTTTTTACACCACATACTAATTTTAAACATGAATAACCTATTTTACCTTTGTACATAATTACCGTTAGGAACAAAAAAAATTAAAATTGCTCGCTACACCCCATATATGTTCCTGCAACTCTAGTTTGACTTTTTTCTCAAACCATCATGTTCCTAAACCCTAAACCCTAGATTTATACGTTTATATTGGTGAAAAAATATCTTGTATTTATTCGTGAATGGTGAGATTGAAGTTAGATAGGCTTCGAATGAGGTATGAGTTTATTTTTTGGTGTTTTGCAAGTTTAGTATTTCATTATGGTTACTGATTGCGATCAGCATATCAGTATTGAACGCGATAGGTAAATTCGGTGGGATGCCACCGAAACGTTTCACCTGTTTCGATTGTGTTTGACCGGTCATGAACTTAATATTCGGTGGAGATTCACCATATCATGGAACATAGTGCAATGGTTCACTACCAAACTTTTACCTGCGTTTCAGTGGCATTGAATTGGAATTTATTTATTTTTTCAATAACTTATTGCCGACCACAAATTTAATGCAAGCTATTTTGATCTTACTCCCATTGAAGGAACAAAAACAAGGTGATGCCCCTAGTGAAGGCAACAATGAAGGAACATAATGTGTAATGGACTATAGTGATCAATTCACAACTTATTCTGTAATTATTTTGAGTTTTTATTTGTCTGAAATCCTTTATAATATAATTAACATGGCATTAATGTTTCAAATTTTATCTTTAAATAATATGAGTTTTATGTGTAGATATTCAATGTTAGAGACGCATTACTTAGATGGGCTCGTGCATAAGGAAAAATGAATAATATTGTCATTGTAATTAAAAGGTCTGATTATGGAGAGGAGGGCAAGAGGAGACCTCGTGTAATACTTGCTTGTGAGAGGAGCGGTAACTATAAGTCTTACAAGTCTAGTGAGACAACTAATATAAGGTCGAATGCAAATAGTTATATGAAAAAATGTGTTAGGGACACTGATACCAAGAAATGTGGATGCCCATTCTTGTTAAAAGGTGTCAATATTGGTTATGAGGATTATTGGAAGTTGGAGGTGGTTTGTGGAGTAACAATCATCCTATTTTAGAGTATCTTCAAAGTCATTCATTTGTGGGGCAACTTTCTGAAAAGGAGAATGCCTTGTTGGTGGACATGTCTAAGAGTTTGGTAAAACCCAGAGATATTTTGGTCACCCTTAAGAATAGAGATGCAATGAATGTTTCAACTATGAAGACAATATATAATGCTAGGATCCGAAATAGAACTAAAGAATTTGCTAGGAGAACCCAAATGCAACAATTGCTTACTAAGTTATCCGAATACAATTATATTGAGTGGCATAGGACATCTGATGATATTATAACTGACCTGTTTTGGACACACCCCATTAATATTAAGATTTTGCATGCATTTCCACATGTACTTATCATGGATTGCACCTATAAGACTAATAGGTATCGTTTCCCACTATTGCAAATTGTGGAAGTGACATCTACTAATATGACATTCTCTATTGTGTATGTGTGTGTATATGAATGCTGAGAAGGAAGACAATTATACATGGGCATTGACTACATTAAGGAGTTTGTTGGATGATAATTGTATTCCTAGTGTCATGGCATATTAACAAAGGAGTGTTGGCAAACTGCAAGAAGTTATTTGGGACCCTCAAATAATGGAAGCAATTTAATGAGGATTGGAATACTTTGGTTGGTTCCGAAACGGAGGAGGAATATTAGCTTTGTTTGCGACAAATTGAGTCTAAGTTTAGTGAATTTCAAAAAGCTCTTGAATACATACATGACAATTGGTTAAATCCATTTAAGGATAGGTTTGTGGCCGCATGGACAGACACTTGTATGCATCTTGTTTCGACGACCTCAAATACGTAAGTATTTTAGTCAACTTTTGATATATTAATTTGAAATTTTATTTTGCTTCAGGAAAATTTATTATTGTTAACAACTAAGCGGAAAGTACACATGCAAAGTTGAAGCGACAACTCCGCTCGAGCCAAAAGGCATGTGAAAGGTGTTCGTTTCGGGATGCCACTTGTCAACAAATGTAGATATCACAATTTTATCAGCATTCCGATAAGAACACCTAATAAGTTACTCTAATCCAGACCTTTGAATGTACCCTTTGAATATACCATTATTTGGATTACCCCACCAATTCCACTCACAAAGGGTAGATGTCTTCGACATACACCCAAGGGGCTCACGTTCCTAGTTTAAAAAAAAAAATCAAGGTTAATTACCATGAACTAGACTTATATTCTACCTTCTATTGTCACAGTAAAACGACTTACTTAGTTATTTCAAATTGCAACTGCTATGTGAGTTTTAAAACTCGTAAGTAAATATGGATCAATGAGACCTACTCGGGATGACTCAGTAGGCTCGGCATGTACCTCAACATTACTATTATGAGTAGCAGCTACATCTTCAACCTCTGCGTCAACATTACTATCATGAGTAGGAGCTACATCTTCAACCTCTGTAGCATCCTCAAAGTGATCTTGGGGAGCCACTCTCTGTCTCCTCATTGAGGCCATGTGACGCTGTCTATTAGGTCTAGATGATGAAACCTCAGTAGTACCTTTGTGAGTCATTTTCATATCTAAAAACAAACAATATTAAGTACACACTCAGTAATGTATTTGGTAGATGATCACTGAAAAACGGAAACAAATTCGGTGGATTATCACTGAAAAAAGAAAACATATTCAGTGGAGTACCATTGAAAAACGAAAATACATTCGGTGGGGCGTCTCCCGAAAAATGGAAACAAATTTGGTGGACTACAACTAATGCAATGTAACCATTTCGGTGGTAATCCACCGAAATAAAAATCCAGTTTCGTAAAACCAGGTTTGAACCATACACCCACAAAGTTGAAATCAATAATTAAAATCAGACTTTGGCTTTTCAAAAATGAAATCAAACCTACACTTAATCAACACTTAGAAACATAAATATAGAAATCAAAATTGAAATCAAACCTTGGCTCCTCGAAGGATTTGTGAAAACTTGACAGATTGGTGATGGATGTTTGCGATGGCTAAGGCGATCATGGTTTGCGACGGGATGAAGCGTTTGGGGTTGGCTATGGGGTGTGATGGCTCTGTTTCATAAATGGGTTGTGCGATGGGTTTGGGTTTACAAAGATGGGTTGTGCGATGAGGATTGCATAGATGGGTTGTGCGATGGCTCTGTTTCAAAGGAGATAGGGTGTGCAGTGGAGGTTGTTGTAAATCTGATGGGTTGTGTCTACAAGAGGAGGGAATTTTCGATGGGGTAGGGCTTGATATGGAATGGGGTACAACTCCCAGTAATTAATTTAGAAATTAATGGGCCACTAAGTAACTGGCAGGTATGGGCTTGAAAGGTTCTGTTATGTGTTTGGAACTGATAGTGTGGTGCATTGTGGCCCATTTTTCTGCTATAAGGTTTCAAGCCCATTTACAATGACCTTTTTTTTATGAGAAAGAATGACTATGATATGATTAAAATGCCACGGTGGGAGACTCTCCAATTTCCTTGGCCAGACCAAATTGTCTGAGCAGAAGAAAATGAACAACTCTGTCACTGAGCTGTAAGGGCATGGATGGATCTTGCCTTCTGCACATTGGTTTGTGTAAAATTGTAATGAATTGTGGCAAATAGAGAGACACAGAGACCACTCACATCTTATATATATATATATATATATATATATATATATAATGTTTTACAAGGCATTCCGAGCACATGGCCAGAGCACAGATTCAAGTGATCCCATCCACACTCACATGATATTCAATTCCTCTGTGTGCATATGAATGAATGCAAGTGGGGTAAATTACTCCTCATCAGCCTGAGCCACCTAACAAAAACATCAATAAAGAGCTAAGAGTTCATAAGGCTTGCCAAGTTAGGCCATCTAGCATGTAAGATTTAACTAGATTTTCAGTTTAAATGCATTTCAAAATTTTACAAAAAGAACAAATTTAAAGTTGGGACTGGTTTCTTTTGGGTCAAGGCAAAGGTATCTGTAGCTTACTTGCAAAAGAAGATTGATACATAGAGGTAAAGAAGTAAACAATGCGTACGTATCATCCTATATGTTCAACCACCATTTTTCACACTTCGGGCTTCATTTTCGATCATCTTTGCAGCATCTGCACAGTGGCTAAATCACTGTGGCAGAAAATGGCCCCTAAGATTAGGTGTTCCGTTGAAACTTTATCGATTTAAAAGCAAAAGAACAGGAAAAGAAAACGCAAGAGTTTTGCTAATCTGTTTCTGTATACTGATATTTTGCAAGTATACAATTCAAAGGGACGAAAAAATTCATATTAAGGCAAGAATGTTCCAAATATGTATCATTGAGCTACAAGTTTGGAACTATATGAATGTATTTCTACATGAAAAAGGAAAAATCCCAGAATTGGGGTCAAAAAATTTCTGGGTTGCCACCTATAAGCCATAAGCAGCAGAGAGAAGCTTTTGCCTCTCTATCCTAACAAAAGCCACTAAAAACTTCCACAGAGCCATGGATGGAATCACTTCTTAGTTGGGCATCAGACCCACCAGTAGCTCGCGTTTATGTTCATTTCCAAGCCACCAGGACTTGAATTCAACATCACCATTCTCTTCCTTAAGTTTGACTGGTTGACTTAGTTCAAAGACATCGCAGATTTCAGAAATCTGCTGCTTCAGTGCTCTGGTCTGTTCTGTTCCTGCCCCAGAATCTTTACCAAAATGAACTCTCTTGTGACCACCCAAAGCTTGGCCTGTTGCAAACACCTTTAAGCAGATGGAGCACCTGTGAACCTTACTTTCAAAATCAGTCACAGTTGCTCTTTCCATCTTCTGCTCCTCTGAATTATCAGTACATTCAAGCTTGGCAAGCTTGCAACTGTACTCAATCTTAGAAAGCTTGTTAATCTGAATTTTATCTTCAGAGTCCTCAATCTTCTCTCCAGAACAGTTGTTAGTTGCTTTATGAACTCTTTGGTGGCCTCCAAGTGCCTGATGAGAGCGGAAAAGCTTCTTGCAAGTCCTGCACTTGTGTTCTCTTTTCTTCCGAGAATCAGCAAAGATTTCAGATTCAGTACCATATAACATGTTATTGCCAGAATCACAAGCCTTCATACCAGACTTCACGGAGCCCAATTTAGTTACATCCAGCTCTTCTTCCTCTATAATATCCACATCCAATTCCACTTCAGTGACTTCAGTGAGGATGGCTTCCATCTCTCCATGACTTTCCTTCTCAATCTCAGCATCATACCCCACAAATGCAGAATCCTCATCTAGTTTAGGCCTTTTGCACTCTGCACCCCTGTAAAACCTGTCAATAGGAACTTCCAATTTTCCAATCTTTTCCTCATCACTTGCAAACCCAGAATCATTTTCACCAAATTCAAATATTTTGTTCCCAGTATCATTACAAACAGAAATGCCACCCCTATTTCCCATGATCCGATTCTTTTGGACTGGCGATTGAACCTCCAAAGACAACGAATTGTTATCTGAAGACTCAGTTACTGAACTAATTCGACCCCAATTGCTTCCACCTCTGGAGATGATCATCAAGCAAATAGCCCCATCTACTACTTCTTGGCCAAATTCAGTGGCATATTTAGATTCATTCATACCAGAAAAAGAAGAACTTGGAGTGATCTTGTACCTTAATCTTTTCGATCTTTTCCTCCGGATCAGCCCCATGGTCTCAGGGCTGTATTGGAAATCCACAAAAAGCTTCTCGCTTGAAATGCTCTGCGATCCATCAGAGGTCCTGAGCCTTTTTGAGTGAATTTTGGTATGAGCAGTTAGAGCTCTCAGTGACTCAAATGCTTTACCGCAATCTTTGCAACACTGAGTCTCCTTCCTTTCTCTGCTCGAGTGATGCCTCATGTGACCAAACATAGCTTTCATTGAATCAAACCTTTTTCCACAGACCTTGCAGAGGCTTTCTTTCTCAGAAGCTTGAACCTTTGAGCCAGAAAATTTCCATGACTTTTTGGGGTTCACTCTTAGGCCATAACCAGCATGCTCATCGTCATCACCTTCAAAATCCACGTTGCTCACTTTGAGCTTTTTCTCTGCTTTAGCCGAATTCTTTGTTCCATGGCCTCTCATGTGACCTCCCAAGACTTTGCCACTCGAGAAGGTCTTGTTGCAGAGCTTACATCTATGCTCCATCCTACCACTACCCAACCCAACTAAAAAAGCAAACAAACCCAGATCCCAAAACCAAGAAGAAGCCCAATTTCCCAAGAAAGTTTAAATCTTTCCACCGCATTCCAGGAAAAAAAATAACAAAAGAATGCTCAAGAAACAGAGAAACACAAAAAACCCAGATCAGAGAACACCGAGGACTAAACGATTATACCACAATCATGAGGCTTTCTTGCTTTTTCAAAGTGATCGGAGAAGAAGCAATTTGGGTTTCGCAGAATTGGTGTGCAAGAACAAGATCTGGGTCCCAAAGCAAAGGGGGTCTTTTTTCTCTCTCTGATCTCTTGGGAGCTTGAAATGTATGCAAGCAAGCGAAGAAGCAAAGCAATATCTAACTGAAGCACATTGGTTATGTGACCACTGAGGCACTGACCACTGCTATGCCAGTAGCGGGCAAGAAATGACAACGAAAGAATGAGAGAGAGAGAGAGAGAGAGAGAGAGAGAGGATGAGGATCACTTTCTGGTACTAATATTTTCTCTCTCCAAATTTAGCCTATGCCTCATTTGGAAGCAGAAAAAAAAGGAAAAGAAATCCTTGCATGAAAGCAAAGTTATAATCCAAGACTCCGACTTTTGTCCCACTTTCTTGTGTACATGAAGCCACCAACTCGCTAGCACTAAAACTCTAGTTTTGGCATTTCTCTAATTAATATATGAAAGATTGTTTCTTTTTTTCACAGGGACCTTATCGTAGTAAATTGGATGGATTTGGATTTCTAATTTATGACAGAAATTATTCTTTTTTTGCTTAGCACAATTTATTAATATTATTGAGCACAACTTACAGAGTGCCTCGCAAAATTCAGTGAGCTAAGTAAAAAACAGAGTCATTTATGGTGTTGCTTGGGGCTCAAGACTCAAGAATTGGGTAGGCATTCTACTTTCATGTCAAATTCACATTTCCCATTAATGTTGCAGGAAAAATGAGTAATTTATGAACTAAAAATGGAACCGAGCTATCTGCCATTAGGTACGAGCAGAGCATATTGAATTGTCTGAATTCAAATGCGACTTTAATCATACGTTCTTTTTGTTTTGGTTTGTCCTGCTCCTAAGCAAAACCCCACACAAGGGACAGGTTCGAGGAGGCTCCAGCGGCCAAGTGTTTTTCTTTAGTTGTCTCCGAACTTAGAGAAGAGCTTTAGCATGATAAAAGTACACTCAAGTGCACTGTAAATTGGACAGGTGTACCTAGCTGAATGTTTAATTATATATATATATATATATATTAATACAAGCGATAGTCTAAATTATAGAAGAGGGGGGTTTATCACACACACACAACTAAGATGCTATGGAAGTTCAAACCTAAAACCTCTGATCTAGAAGTCAAAATCTCTTTTCACTAGGTTAGAACGGGACTTTTAATTAAGTACAAAAACATGCATAACTTAATCATTCAGCCACGTCAACACGAGTTTGACATTTAACCAATTTTGACAATCTTAGCTTTGGCCTCTAAATGTCAAAAATGCATAAGACTAGTGTAATTTCTTATTTTTACCAAATAAGTACACAAAGAAAAAAAATAACATGTACTAATTTAATTGTATAAGTTTGTTTGTATTTCTTTGGTCATGATGTTAGTTTAAGAAGTTTCGTCTCTTGTTTGATCTGCCAGAACTATTTTATATTACCATAGAATAGATGCTAAGAATGTTATTTTAACTCTGCAGGTGGTTTGCATATTATTTTGTCTGGTTTTTATCACCCTTAACTATGTTAGCAGGGCAGAATATTAATGATTGGTCACCATCCAGCAACCGTTTGCGTTTGGGATTGATGCAAGTTATATAAGAAGCTTACTAGAAAAAAGTATTTAATTTACCATGTAAATGCTTTATGTTGAAAACAAATAAAAGCAAAGGATTGAAAAGGGTCTTACAAAATAAGGGGAGAGAATACTGGGGAAAAAGGATAATTTAATATGTTCTAAATAAAATATTGATGCTGTGGGCTCTTTCCAATGGTAATCCGCATTCAACCCTTAAAAAATGATGAATAGAAGCATTATCAACCAGAAAGAAGGTAGCATAACAACAAAGAGCACAAGTTGATGCTTGGCTATGACATAATTTGCAAGGAAATGCCTGGCCTTCCCTTGTTTTCACCCACAGCCATTTCCTTGTTTTCAACCACCCCCAGTCCCATGTTTTGATGAGTACACAGAAGAATGCTCAGCATTTAGTCTTTGAAAACAAAAACAAAATATAAAACTTGAGGGTAAAGAAACAATGTGAATGAACCTTAGACAAATGCAACACTACCAAAAAGATAGAGTGAAATTTTTGGTAACAAACTGCTGATTTGATTCACTTCCAATGAAAACCTTCACATTCTCACATCTCATCCTCACAAGAAAAAAAACAGGATTTATGTCTCACAGGTAAATAAATTGCACCCTGTTCACTGAAGAAAAAGTCCATCGACCATGGCCGTCCCTTTGACTAACCCATGGACATCCATCATGTACTAAAAATCTACGTCTGTAGCTGCCTTCTTCCAAGAAGTGAAAAAATTGAAAGAAAACTACTTGCATCTTTGAAGGGTTAATAATCTATCGTCCATTTGAAAATCCTTCTTCAGGGTTCCCCAAATCCTGAAAGGAGGATTTAAAGAGTTCATACAGCCCAAAGCTGGCTTCAATGGAACAACAGTACTGGGAATTAGTGTAGTTCATATCTGTCCCTTGCCACCTTATCATCCTTATTGGGCTTCTTCTTGAACTTTATCATTCAAAAGCTCATAGGTCAGTCACCATGCTTATTGTACTTACTCAGAAAAGGATCACGTCATTCTACACTGCAGTCTCTTGAACCATTTCTGTCAATAAGAGGACAAAAGAATTCAACTGTCTCGCTGATACTCATATGATGTGCAAGAATCATCTTGAATATCATAATCCTCTCTGTTATTGCTAGCAATCTTATCCAAAATCTGAGTTTCGGTACCACCAGAACCACCAGGGGAACTCCCAACATGAGCGCCTGAGCCATCATCTATAGCACCCCCATCCTTGTCCTTCATTCCAACATAATCAACCGCATCGTTGCCATCTCTACAACCATCTACGTCATATGCATCCTCAATGTGTTCATAGCAACCCTCTAAGTGTTCTTCCTGATTATAGGCAGGAGCATCTAGATTGACAGGAGATTCCACCCCAGAATCCTCATCACCCTCTACGGTTCCAAGTTCACTTTTTTGCCACTCATCATCATCACTGTCAATGTTTAGAGGGTCAAACCTATTCTGCTCACTCCGTTTACGGAGCATGAAAACATTAAAATAATAGCTGACAAGGTCTTTATGTGTTCGGGAAGGAAAAGCCACGGAGAGGTGGTGCCAGAAGTTCTTACCCAATGATACAGGGTTAGAGAGGACAACATCATGGAAGGCATGCTCTTCCTCTTTAGTCCATTTATCTGCAACCTCCTCCCCCATTTCATAAAATCCCAACTCTTCAAATAGGTGCTCTCCAAGGTCTTCTTTTAGTTTCTCTCTTGTTTCCATGACATGTTGTCTCACACATCTAACCGAACCTGCATCACCACACTTACAGTTGCTTCTAGCTCCCACATCTTCACAGAAATAGTTTGCTGCAGATGCTTCAAGGTCAGGCATAGAAATGACACAGGTACCCATCAGCTTCTCCTCGTTAACGTCAAGAACAAGATCCTGACTGGAAGGACATGAAGGCTCATGTTGAGGATCCAATTTCTCTAGATGAACTGAAGCGTGTGAACCCTCAAAGCCCCATACTGGAACATGAGCTTGATGCTGAGCACCAATAGAAACTAGCTTTCGAGGAGGATAATCAACAGGAGATGAGCAGATCTTGTCAGAATGAAGTAAAGCCCTCCATTGGTTTACAGGTGCGAAAAATTCTGGGAATAATGATAGATGAGATGCTGCCTCAGGTCTTACGTTAGCTTCAATAATGCTGCTGTTGGACCTCAAAAACCGGGCAAAGCTTCCAGAAGCACCAGTTTCAAGTTCTTTGTAGGTTTCATTTGAGACTGAAGTTTCCAAGACACTTGCAAACCTTCCTTCATCTGGACATTTACTAAAACTCCCATCACCATCACCTTCACCATCTTCATATTGTAATTAAATCAGCTATAAGATCAAACTGAATTCTACATATTATATTATACTAAGTTCATAAACAACCATGCATTAAACATCATACTAACTTACATCAGGGTAAAAGAAAAAACTGATGCCATTATTTCTTTTAGAAGGTCAGATTAACTTATTGGTCCAGATTAACATACACAGCTCTAAATAACATTTCCAGATCCATGGTGATGGTGCAGGTTTTATGCCTTTACACCGCCCAAAGATCCAGACAAATCATTATATGCACAACTTGAGAACCAACTTATTAATGACCATCCAACTATTTGATACCTGAAATTTGAAATTTCTGGGGAGCACCATTAAAAGGAAAAATATCCTCATTAGAATGTTCCAATTGTCTTGGGTGCTTACAAGCAACCTCATAAGAATCCTCACCACCAAAAGGCCGTTTGTTAATCATTTTGCCCTGCAAAGTGAAGCCACATTTGAAGTGGTGCATTGAATACGCAATATGGGACTTAGACATCTAAACCTCCCATTCAGAGAAGAAAGCAGCAAATAAAGATCTTAGATACGAGAAGAAAATAACAATCTTCAGGAAACTAATCCTTCTGGATGACTCATCTTAATCAAAACTAAATACAATATCACTATATAAAAATCAAAACATAATAGGCTTAATACCTTTCCAATAAATATAGACACTAAACTTAAAGAAACAACCATATCAGGTAAGACAGACAGTCAGCATAATGCATGGAATACCACCTACCACACAACGAGCATCAAAACAGCTTCGGTAAAAAATTCAGTGTCTCTAAAGCTGATTCTACTTAATCAAAAAATAGATGCTATGATTCTAGTAACAATTCCGCACATACAAATATAGGTATTTAAAGGAAAGAGGCCATTTTCATTTCTTTCCTTTTTCCTCTTTTATATGTGATTGTGACCTACATTCCTATGAAACAGAAGATATGATGTTAAGTTCTAAGGGAAAAGAAATGGCAGATACCTTGCATCATCTTTTGCAAAAACCAATTTTTCCTTATTGATACCAACTTATAGATAGCAACGTATGCGCGGAGACAAAGATATATCCCAAACAGGCATAAAATGAAGTCAAACAATAGTACCTTATAGTAGTACTTATGCTACAAAGCCAGCTTAATTTTGTCTTATTAAAAAAATACAACTTTAAAAAGTCGATTATATTACTGAGCTAAAGGAGCTGGTCCATACCTGAAAATATTGGCGTCCAAGCAATTGACAAAACCACCCAAAAACCAGCTTCTCAACCCAAAAATACTAGAACCCTATGGTTGAATTTTTTTATACTAATTTACAAGCGATTGAAAAACAGGGGCAAGCAGTAAACTGTGTATCCCCAATTTATGCAGATAAAAAGAAATAAAAAATTGGAAATTTCATAAGATCAAAACATTTCTTCATTTTTTAGATAAATCCGGAAATTTTTGAATGACCCCAGATAGAATCGGACAGTTAAGTACTAAAAGGCAAACAAATTATTCACAGATCGGGCAAAACCTTTTCAGATCGAGAAGTTTTCTGAAATTTCAAAACCCTAACCCTAGAATTGGATTGGGGACACGTCGAGACATGAAATCGGGATCAATAGGTAGATAAATGAGCGAATTGAACGAATAAAATCTTGAATTGAAGATTGAAGATAGAAATTTGAAGGAATCTGAATCGCAGTGATAAAGATCGGCGATGGAGTAAAGTTTTGGCGCTAGCGGTTTTATAGCCATTTATGGCTTTGTTCGGTGGTCCGAGTCCGAGGATAGAAACCTTTTGGGTGACGTGAATTACTAAAAAGATAAGAATCTAGTTCATATTACGTTGGATGCCCCTCTGATTCTGGATGTGTACGGATGAGCTCGAGAAAGATTCTGTCAGGTAAATGTCATAAAATCGTCAGTGTAAGAATTTTGGCAGCCACTAGCTTTTCGCCACGTCCAGTCCACAGATTGTTACCAACGACACATCGTTCTTATTCAAAGTAATAAAAAACGATATGACGTATTTAATGGCAGGTTGAAACTTGGCCTCAGTCAATGGCTATATTCAATTGCTGGAGGTTGTGGGAAGCAGAAGACTATAGGATAAGACATTTTTAAAATTGAATACAAATACAACCACTTTAATGATCCAATAGCACCTTACAACTATGACGCGGTAAAGTGTCGCAGCTTAGTGGTTAAGAGTATTTTCTCCTGTTTTAATTTCAATTCCCTCTTTTTAATATCGCTTGTATCAAAACTGGTAAAGTGTCATAAAATGTTCTAATCATATTGCATCTCTAACCAAACATATCTAGTCTAAGTGTTTGTCTTGTCTTTTGAACAGTAAATTTCATGTCAAAGAATATTATTGGAACATGAAACAAATGGTTCCAAGAATTTCACAATTCGAATTTATGATGGCCGATTGGACCAAACAAATATGATATCATGTTTTCTAATAAATTGAAATATGACAATATATGACTTCAAATTTATGCCAGGCAAAACAAGAGCCTCTAAGTTCAACAAAAATTATATCAGAAACCGGACCACTATGTATGTGGTGGCAAGAAAGAAGAAAAACCCATGAAAAAAATAGCAAAGAATCAAACTGACTGCCTCAAGCCACTTGAACTCCTTGTCAGTTTTTTTTATGCCACAGCAGGCATGTCCTTGAGCCATGCATCCAGGGGCTTACCAATTGAGAACACAATAAACCCAATCTCCCGCAGCTGATCCACATTAACAACATTCCTACCATCAAATATAAAGGCCGGTTTCTGCATATCATCGAATATCTTCTTGTAATCAAGAGTCTTAAACTCATCCCATTCGGTCATAATGCAAAGACCATGAGCACCCTTTGCTGCTTCGTAGGCATCCCCGACAACAGTAACTTGCTTCTCAGTACTGGAGGAGGCACTCATCGGCTGGAGGTGAAGAGGATGGTCCCAGTCAAACTTGCTCAATGCGAGGTCCTTGTGAATCTGGTCCTCAGTAACTTGCGGGTCATATATGCTCAGTTCAGCCTTGTCACCCAACAACCCCTTGCACACATCAATAGCTGGGGTCTCCCTTGTGTCACCAGTATCTTTCTTGAAGGCAAACCCCAGGATGGCAATCTTCTTCTTTGCCACTGTGTTAAACATGGATGCAACAACACGGTTCACAAAACGGTTCTTCTGATAATCGTTGATCTTAATGACCTGTTTCCAGTACTCAGCCACCTCTGGAAGGCCATTGCATTCGCAGATGTAAACCAAATTCAGGATATCCTTCTGGAAGCAAGACCCACCAAAACCAACACTAGCATTAAGAAATTTGGGTCCAATCCTAGTGTCCTTACCAACAGCATACGACACCTCTATAACATTGGCCCCAGTAGCCTCACAAAGGGCAGACATGGCGTTGACAGACGATATTCTCTGGGCCAAGAATGCATTGGCCGCAAGCTTGGAGAGCTCTGCAGACCAGAGATTGGTGGTTAGGATTCGGTCTTCAGGAACCCACTGAGCATAAACATCCTTCAATGCTTTGATGGCCTTTTGGCCTTCAGGGGTTTCCCTTCCACCAATGAGGACCCTGTCTGGGTTGAAAAGATCTTGGATTGCAGTTCCTTCTGCAAGGAACTCTGGGTTGGAGAGGATTTGGAATTTGATTCCCTTGCTATTGTGGGTCAAAATTTTCTCTATTGCTTCAGCTGTTTTGACTGGGACTGTAGATTTCTCAACAACAATTTTGCTAGATTTTGACACATCAGCAATCATGCGAGCAGCACTCTCCCAATATGTCAGATCTGCAGCTTTGCCTGCTCCAAGACCCGTAGTTTTGGTAGGGGTGTTTACAGAGACAAACACTATATCAGCTTCGTCAACATGTTTCTCCACTTCAGTGCTGAAGAAGAGGTTTCTGCCTCGGCACTGCTTTACCACATCATCAAGGCCAGGTTCATAGATGGGAAGCTTGTCACTGTTCCAAGCCTCAATCCTTTTTTGAGCGATATCAACAACAGCAACTTGAACGGATGGACACTTGAGTGCAATCACTGCCATTGTAGGGCCCCCGACATATCCAGCACCAATGCAACAGATCTTCACCATTTTTGTTTCACTCTAGAACCTGCCCACAGTTAAGCTCATACATGTCAGGGGAGCGAAAAGACAAAACAAAATGGGAATGATCCACATATTCAGATATTGTTTCAGTATTCACTGCCTATAAATCATATGAAATTGAGTTTGATATTCACCCACTGAACCAAACTCTCATGTTGCAGTAAAGAACAATTCAATGACAGAAAGTCTGTTTGATCTTACAATTTACGAAAATGGCTCATCCAGAATATACCCCTATCAACTATATCATTCATAAAGCCATTGTTCAATTTCAAACCCGGTTCCCAGATCTAGACCTTTAGCCTAAACAATTTCAAAAATCCTCCTTTTCTTCATTGCTTGGTTCCCATTATCCAAACAAAAATTGCTTAAACAAATACAAGGGCTTGATTATAAACAACAAAATTAGATCTACAAAAATTCTGGTAGATCTAGGATCAGAAAGAGCACAACCCGGAATTGCAACAGAACTCAAATCCATACTTATGGAATTGGAGCAGATCCATGAGCAAGTAGCTCAATTTCCATTTTCAATGCGAGAATTTATCAATAAAACGGATCCATATATAAAATCCAATGTGCAAATCATATCCACGCATATACGAATGATTATATGAAATCAAAAGTTTCAAGCTTAACTGCTAAACAAAGGAAAATGACACTAGATCTGAAGAATTATAAGCGCCATTAACAAAATCCATTAAGTATATTCAAAGAAAATGTACCAATTCAAAGAAACAATCGATAAGTGGTTTGGAATTACCAGAAATAGCTCCTCCGGCCGTCCTTACAGAGTTGATACAGAAAATTTTCCTTGCCTGTCCCTAGAAAAACAAGGTGTGGAGATTTCAAAACTGACCAAAACAATCCAACTAAGAAAAGGTCGGAACTAAGCTAATGAGGTACCTTTGCTTGTCTTCCTTTTCAACTGTAAGTTCGAAGAACGAGAGAAATGCGAGTATGAAGAAGACGAGCGTGATGGGTCTTGCTTAAATACCCAACACATGTCCCAAATCTACCCCTCTGATTTATGAAAAGGACAAGCCGGTTCCGGGATGGTTGATGATGCAAAGCTCTCAAATAAAAGACTTATTTACTTATGGCAGGTAGAGGAGAGAGGGTAGTCTTGTAAAATTAAATGTCGGACGCGGTTCATATTATTAGAGTGAAATTACAAAATGCCCATGAAAAAAAGGTCATGGTTTTTTCAAAATGCACCCCAGAAGTTGAGTATAATATTACCCAAAATAAAAAATAATAAAAACTCCCAAATTTTACTTTGTTTTTGGTCAAGTTAGGAATAGGAAGGTAGATTTTCTCACACACACACTATCAAATTGTCATTTAAGACCGTTGATTTATAAGTCAAGACTTTCACTTAATTAGACCTCGTTACCTCCCAAATATCACCATTACTATAACAAAATTCTCGTATAGCAAGTATACTTTATTTATATTATATCATATCGAGACCAATTAAGAGTGTTTACTATCAAAATAATGAGACAATATCGACATTTTAAACCCCCTTTTGAGATATTATCGATACAATGGAACTATACGCTGTAGCAATAATACTACTTGACTTTGCTAGTTGTATTTAAAAGCACTTTCCAATATTCTACGCGTTTACCACGCATGCCAACGATGGGTTGGATTCAATCCCACTTGCAGCAACCTTCGGTGAAGGAGTAATGTGCTCCGCTAATCAATGGTAACATTTTCTTGTTTCGGATTCGGACCTTTTGGTAACCCGGTACCACATAATTACTAAACAATTTAAATTTTCATCTCATTTCTTTGAGTGATAAATATATATTTTAGGTTCATGTGCATTAGTGTCATCATCAAGAGCAAAACAGGAGGACATATGGACAGCTCTTGTTAAAGCATGAAGAGGAAAACTTGGAAATCAAGACTCTCGACTTTGCTTGGAAAATCAGAAAATGTTGGATTGAATTTCAAGCCATATGAAAAAAGGAAAATTAAGGGGATGGACCCATGCTGATGATGACTCTTAATAATGCACACAATTACATATATTTATGCGAGCTAATAAACCAAGTTACATATAATTTTTATAATTAAAATCGATATGAAAATTACATATGTGAGTTAAATTAATTGGGCATAACAGAAAACCTTCTTTTTTATGGATTCTTTTTTGAACGGGATGTGTAGATCTTTTTGTGTATGGTGTTGTCACTCCCGTTGGCAACATCCACTAATTCGAAACTTAATTTAAAAATTATATTTTGACATGGACATTTTCGAGATGCTCCTCCTAATAACTAACGAATGGCAAGTGATTTTTCTTGTGTGGATCCTATTTCAATGAGAACTCGTCCCCTTGCACTAAGTTCAACCCTCTCATTAGATTAAATTAATTTAAAATAACTTAAAATATCGCTTTTATAAACCATAAAAATAAAAAGACTTGAAAATTCTAGATAAAAAGTGGGCAAATTAAACCATAAAAACCGAACAAGCCTATAGATATCTATGGGCCTAAAAAGAGCAGTCCTATCCGAGCTCAACTCTTGACCCAAGTGGGCAAAAGCTTTTGATAAGTTTTGACATAGAAACCTGGATGGTGATGATTGATAACGATGGAAATTTTCTTACAAATTTTACGAAATAATTAATTAATTATAAGAATATATCGTATGCTTGGAATCCAAGGAAACCGTATAAGTACAATTTGATAATCAAATAAACTTATATGACAATTAACTCGGCTCCTGGTGGAAGTTGCTTCCCAATCTGCAAAGCATGCTTTCTTGTTGCCTCTATTTTCTTCTTGGTTGTCTTTCTACTTAGGTAGTGTTTCAAACTCAGAAAATCATAATTCTGCAAAGCATGTTTTCTTGTATTATTCGACAAATTTCTTAAAAACATACGGTCCGACCAATAATACTTGAAAAATACAGATAAAATGGAAAATATTTGAATAGAACGTGTATGTCATTATATGTATAATACGTGAATAATACATATGCATTAAAAAAAACATGTAGTTTTCTATATCTTTGAGAAGTGTAAAAAAAAAAGGGAAGTGTGACAATACAGTGAATCATTTACCTTTTGAAGATCAAAGATGAGCTTCTCGAGCACAAGAGAGTTCTCAATTAAGTACATGGCAAACTTAGTATCCATACGAGACCCAATGAAGCCTGAAATTGTCACAACCTTAAGGCATGGATGAGGACATTTGTTAATCTTCTGCATACTACTGGTGCAATACGTAAACAAGCCGCTCCACTTTAACTGCAAACAGGCGTATATATGAGAAGAACATATCAAGATTCCTCATTGTACTTAAAAAGCTAATGAATTAAACAAATGTATACAAGTTTTCCATCATTTGTAATGGTTTGGTGGCCGAATTTGGATTGGATTGAAGTTGAGTTCAAGCAAGTTTTATGAGTCTTACCTCTCTAGGTGGGATTTGTAAGACATAGTCAATATATTGGACTTTTGTACAATTTAATAAGTCTATAGTCTCGACACACCAAACAAGGATTAGGCCTCTTGTTCATTCTTTGAAATAGTCTAATCCACTTTCACGCACCAAACTTTTAAGTGTACTATGTATCTTGTTTGCTTATAAATGTGGAAATAATTTTACCCGTAATTCCAATCTATGCAAGAAAGGAGATCGCTCTATCAAGGAAGTCAAATCCATGAGGATTTTGGAATTTTGTCCCATATGTATCGTCAAAGATAGCTTTTTGAGACTAGATAATTCTGGAGACTCTGGGAGCATAATACTCCTCTGCAAAAAGAAACCAATTGTAAGACAAGAATGTATGCTGACTGATAATAAATCTTGAATGATTTCATATGTATACTGACTTGTCCGAGACCAATACGCAGGCTGAGAGTCTGCAGACGAGAAAAATAACTTGAAACCGACCGAAAAGCTTTGGATATACAATCATCAGTTTCTGCAAGAGATAGCATGACAAGCGAGGGTGCATGCTTCATAACAATTCCTGTTCTGTATGGACCTTTTCCGTCGTAGATAAACGACGCGAGATTAGGAGCAAAGATCTCGATTTTAACTACGCTAGGGCAGTCACTTATCTGCAGAAACTTCAACCGGAGAGAGGGACCGACGACTTTCAAAACATATATTTCAGAGGAGCTACGAATACACAGGTGCTCAAGAAGTGGACAGTGAGATAGAAAGTGGCCAACAATTCGACAATGTATGTTTGTGTTGTTGAAGCTGAGGTGTGTAAGGGACTTCATGCAGGAAAAACCAAAAGGGATTTTGAATGGCCTCTCTGGAAAGATATAAGGGTCGTTAGAAAAACGAACATCATCTATCTCAAGCCTTTGAACTCTCTTCTGCAATATTGCACTTTCGATCGAATTATTGACATCAGAACGACAGCATTCGCTATCTAAATCGCAATGGCTAATCCTCAATCTCTCTAAGGTTGAACCCTGATGCGATTGCAAGATTTTAAACAAACCACAAATGCATGGTTTCCTGAGACGCTCACTAAATCCCCACCCCTTATCATCAAAGTTCAGACATGTAACACTTGCCCACAAAAATCTCCACCTCTTGGAGATTACGCAAGTTCTTCCTCCTTCCCAAATGTCCAAGAGGGAAACAATGGCAATTAGAATTTCGTCGGGCAGCTCGCTAATCCGGTCCTCCCCCGAATAATTATCTCCCTTCTCATCATCAAGAAAATAATAATCTTCATCATCATCATCATCTTCCTCCTTAAACAAGTAATTATCTCTCGTATAATCAATAAAATAATTATCTCCCTTCTCATCAAGCAAATAATTCTCTCCCTTATCATCATGGTCACCAAAATTGATTGCAATTTTACGTCCTTCTGTTTGACGTGTGCATTCAGTAGTCTGCAAATCAGTGGCCTTCCTTTTAGACATATTATTTGTTATTAACTTGCTCTAGGTTCTTCTTAATAAGGGATACAATCAAATAACCTGCAATGCAAGAAGTAACTAAGAGATATGAGATGCATCCTCGGCCCAGAAGAAGATTAAAAAAAAAGGGAGAAAAGAAAGTAGGGCTTCTCTGCTCGCTCATGAGAAATAATACAAGAAAACTCAACTTACATTTTGTTAGAGCAATAGAGAGCGAAAGGCCAGAGAGATTTTCTATTCTATGTACCGTGTAAGAAAAGAGTTTGTTTCAAAATTTGAGATCCAAAAATTTGCTCGGAAGGTTTGTACTTATACTCAAACTCCTCTTGTGTATAATCGAAATTTATTAGGAAATAGGAATCTTCTCCTCTTCAGGTTTGTACTTATACTCAACCTCCTCTTGTGTATAATCGAAATTTATTAGGAAATAGGAATCTTCTCCTCTTCCGGATGGGATAGGACAGGAATCATAAGATTTTTTAAGGAAAGTAGTTCTCTTCCCCTATTTGGTGATGAATCAGATGGGGGCTTTCATGCAGGAGATTTTTAATAGTTGACCTACATACATTTTTTTTTTAAAAAATTAAATTTGAAAACTAAAACTACAAATAGGATCCTCTAAGGATTCCTAATTGAGGACTGTACATCAAACTTAACTTACAAGCTACAATAACAGTTTGTGATTATGGCATTTTTGCCCTCATATTAACATACTGTAAACGGATTCCGAATCTCTACATTTAGACATTATGTATTTTCCCGCATTTCGTGATATCTAGACACATCAATTTTTAACTTTTGACACCTATCTATTTAATTAACTCTAACCCTAAAGTTAAAGTTAATTAAATAGATAGGTGTCAAAAGTTAAAAATTGAAGTGACGTATCTTGGACAATTAGATTACTAGAATGGTCTAGATTATTAGAATTCCCACAAACAAATATTCTCTCATAATTTCTCATATTTTAGCAGAAAAATCACCACATCTTGGAGATTATTGCTTCTTCCCAAATATTCAAGAGGGATAGGAATCATATAACTTTTTAGGAAAATAGTGTTTGTTTCCTTGCCTTTTTTGTGATGAATTTTTTTTTTTTGGGTAAAATTTTGTGATGAATAATATGATCCGATCAAGAGGCTCAAGCCTTCTGTTTCTGGTGATTCATGTGTGATCTTATTAATTGTTGCAAATGGTAGAGTATTTACCTACCCCCTCTCCTTATTACCTATGTTTTTGGTAAAATCGTATGCTTATTTGTTGATTAAAAAAGTATCTTATGCAAATGTGGGTTGGGCCAGTTGGCCGGTCATAGTATTGTGTCCACTCCTTACACCTAAGTTCAAATCCCCCTATTATAAATTAGATTAATTTTAAATATTATTAGACTATCACTCCCATTTATTAGAAAAAATCATAATCTTCTTATGGGCTCCTCATTCTTTGGTACCATCCCCCTTATTTATAAGGAGCTCAAAGTACTTATAAAAACTGTTTTGAGAAAATGTAAATCATCAATGTCGGACTCTTTCATTTGTCCATTTTAATTCAAGGTTTAATTTCAATTTAGTACCCTGAATTCCCACTCTTAGGGCATGTTTGCCCATATATTCTCAATTTTAACAATCAAATACCTTAATCTTTTTAATTTTTTGCAATATGGTTCTATCATTAACTTCACCGTTAAATTTTTTATTAATTTTAGTCCTCAGCCCCAACTATTTGCTTCTTTCGATATCAATTGAAGGATATTTTCAAGTAATTAATGTCTTCCTGCTCAAAACCAAACACAATTACCTTGTGGGCAATTCGCTTCTCTCAAAACTTTTGTTGTTCTAGTGGTGAGGGCTAAGGGCTTAAAATTAAAAAATTTATTATTTACTTATAATTATTTTATTTCTAATTAATTGTGTAATGTCTTTGTTTATGTGGCAAAAAATAAACTATCTTGTGTTTGTATGGCATGCTTTGGTTTTATGAAAATAAATAAATTAATTCTCATCTGATACCAAAACGCTGCGTTTAGGTCGTCGGAGACGGGAAGCTAGGGCTCCAATCGTGGGCCGATTCTCAAATTCAAGCAGTTTATTCGATTGCCTATGCCATCACTTCCGCCTCTCGATCTCTATTGCTAATGAAGTGTTGTGGTAATAAATGCACTTGATTTCTTTCTAGTCGTCGGAATTTGCAGTATGTTATTTGGAGATATTAGAATTTAAGAGCGAAGATAAGAGCAGTTAGTAGTTTCTGTGGTAAAATATTATATAAAGTTCGTAGTTTTAAGGGATTTGACTACTTTTTGGTTGTTGCATTTTATGAATGGTTAGCTCCATGTCCTTGCGTTTAGTTACAATACTAGTATTTGGATATCATTTTACTGCCGGTTTAATTCAGAATGTGCACTCTGGAATTGGCAAGTAATTTCAGATGTGATGTTTGTTGTGTGTTTTTTTCCTTAAGCAAACAATAAAATTCATAAGAGAGAGGACACAACGAAAGAAGGATAATATGTAGATAGTATGAATTGCTTCCTTGCATTGCATGGTGTATATATGTTGACCTTTTTCTTAGATTGTTTTTGAATTGAATAGATAATTTTCACTCTGCTCCATATTCGAAAATTTTGTACTGAAAGTTTTTTAGGATTTTTATTGGTCGATTCATCAATATGTTGAAGTTAGAAACCTCCTTTACCCTCAAAACACCTTAACTTTTCTGAAAATTAGTTTTTTTTCTCTTATTATGCGCTCTGTTGTCTTGTGCTTAGAAGCATAAAACTATCATGTCTAATAGATGAAAATCAATGGCAACATTAACATTGAGTGTGTCTTGTGTGAAGGAGGGAGAGGGATTTTTTTTTTTTTTTTTTTTTTTTTTGTTTTTTTTTTTTTACCCTGATCTTTATGGATTTGTGGTTGACTCCTTTTTTGTTGTGTTGGTTTCTGATTTTTCCACAAATCCTTTTTTATAATTTATAATTTTTATGTATTCAGTGTTCTGCATTACTACCTGTTATGCTTGCTTGGGGAGGGGGTGAGTAGTGGCTCTATTTTGTTTTGGTAGTCCAACTTTTGTTTGGTTTTGCAGAGTAAATATGATGCAGCTTTCGGAGATAGCGTTGGTCGATGAAATGGATAAAGCACCTGACACACTGCAACCTTGCTCTGTTGATAGTCTGGTGGACTTGTTACCATCTGTTACCAGTAGTTCTTGTGGTAATGAGTTTGATAACCACACTAAATGTGGTCCTCAAGGTAATTGTTTTGGTGGTAAGATTTGATTTCTTCTATGATGTTGCCTCATGGCCTACTGGTACTGATGATATACTTTTTATGTGTCTGAGAAGGTGTCAATTGCTCAAGGTCAGAAATACCGCTGGATCGTCTGGTTATGTAATTAGCTTCTGAGTGCATACAATATGATAGGCAGACCAGTGGGTTTGGTGGGCCCACTTTCCAGCATGATTTGAACAAATTTGTTTTTCTATCTCAGGCTGGGCAGTTGCTCACGTGGGGTGCAGTCAATGTTTGATCATGCTGTGTAAGTAACTCTTTGTGATCCCAGATAATGTTTGATGAGAAGATGGTTGGGACAAACTTCTGTAAGAGACCGTCCTTTAGTTTGAGGATTATAAAGCTACTTGGAAGTCTCACGAAGAAAATCCATATATTGAATATGATGCCTCATTGGTGCATGCCCTGTTCATTCTGAGAAAGTTTCTTTACTTACAGCTACACATTTGAATATCTAGTACAGAGGATATTCCCTTCCTCAAAACAATGGATTGATGATCTGATGCATCTTATCTTTTTCCTTCATTTGGAAGGAGTGAAACTGAGGCCAAAAATGGAGAGGTCATATTCTAGTTGTACAAAAGCTACTTGCAGCACTGAATTGGAAAATGTGGTTTTCCAAGAAGACGAAGCTCATTTTGGAGACCTTTTCTGTGAAAGTGGTCGTGGTCTACAGAAGGATATGATCAGCCACCAGTTGTTGCTAACTCTAGCTCTGGCCCGAGTATATATATGCTAACTCTAGCTCCATCTGGTTTTCGTATTGAGATTCTTCTTGTGACATTTCACTTATAGTCTGAAGAGGCAAAAGCGTCACATGCGAAGTTAATATTTTCTGCTCACAGAACAACTGGTGGTCCAACTTCGGGTTCCAACAGCACACATTTGTCTTATTGGGCTTTACTGGTTTCAAGTTTGATTTTAGTGCTTAGCCATATGATATTTTACCCACAGACTTGCCCTTCATCTTTGCTTGTTTGTACATCTACGATCCAAGTTGAGCCACGCTCCGTACTGCAGAGCTTGGGGTGAACGATCATTTGTCATCTTGGGTTTCCATTGTATTTGAAAATGTAATGACTGCATTGTTTGAAGAAGAGCCTGACATAAGTCCTTGATTCAACTGATTGATATATCTTCCCTCCTTGCTTTGCTGTCGACAGACTCGTAATATTGACAGATTATGCTTGAGTTGGGATGACATCGGTTCAACCATGTCATCAATTCTGGGGTTCTGGAAAGCTAAACACGCGGCAGTTGTGGAGGATCTTGGTATTGAAAGAGACATTTTCGTACTTTGTTGGGACTTTCCAACTATTGGCACTGCAAAAGGACCGTCAGCTTCCTTTAGGGAGCAATCCAGAGACTCTTAACACTTCTGAAATAGCAAATATCTGTTACTTCAGCCGTTCAATTCTAGGTCATTGTGGTTGTTGGTGTGAAAAATAATTTTTCTAGAGTCTTAGTCCGTCTGCACTTGGATAATTGGCTAGACTTCAAATAGAACTGTCATGTAATGTGTGTATAAACATAAAGAGCGATTGAAAAGGAGGGTTTTTAGTTTTTTTGGACATAAAAAATTCATATTTCAAGGGAGGGTGGCAGATTTTGTATGTGTTCCGACTTTTATCGGCGGTTTTCCGATTCGTAGATAAAAGTTCCTATACCAGCGGTTAGCGACGGTTTCTTCCGCAGCTAAATCCGTTTTGGTTATTCAAGGACCTATAAATCGTCACGAAAAGTAGAAAAACCGCGTCTAAAAGATAAAAACGACGGTAAAAGCTAGAAAACCGCCACAAAAAAACAAGAACTTCTCATTTTTCCCAGATACTGTTTCTCCTTCCTATTTTTTTGGTGTACAGCAGCAAAGTCAGTCTGGAAGGAGTTGTGTAAGGTTTGTATTAATCACCCTTAATAATCGTCATAAATATTAAACAGCCAGATGTCTACAAAAGAGATCATTTTCATTTGTTGAAGGTGTTCGATCTTTGGGTCTTGCTTCTTATCTTTTAAGCTCTACCTCTTCAATTATTTTCCATGTGCATGAATGCAAGTCACACATGAACTATGTTCTATGTTATAAATATTAATAAACTCCATATTGGAAACAATACGTGAAAGCTTTAAGCATGCCTACTTGCAGAAATTGGGTGAGATTCATGCCAAATCCTTTTTTCTCCTATTTCTTTTGGCCATGAATGAGGAGCAGAATAAGGAAACAAAACCGACAAACAAGACTCATGCAATGTACAAGATGGTCTAACACAACCAAACCCACCACCAGTATGCTTTAAGAAAATCAAACCCCATTTTCAAATTGGTAAAACACAATCAAACGAAATCCATTCAGTTGGAAGTGTGTGTCAAATCATATTTTTTATTAGCAAGCTTAGCTTTGTAATGATACTCATCTCTTGTACTCTCACGAACTCTGTTAACATGAAAAATACTCTGCGCGGAGCATGGCAGAGGATGACACACTTTCCTGAATCGTCTAGCAGAGGGCGATTGGCATGGCCCATCATCATCTGCAACAGTTCAGTAACATGGTAATCTGTATGAACATTTTCCCGGCTATCATAATATTGGGTTCCCCTCACAACCACCAAATGGGCAAACAATGACACTCCCCAACACATTGAACTGCTTACTACAGAGACTTGAATCCACCCATCTTCGAAAAGCCGTGACAAAATTTGTTGATCTGAAAGGGTTAAGCCCTCATGCAAGTATCCCACTCCACCATGCAAAGTGGATTGCAATATCCCATCATTAAGTCTTCCAATCAAAGACTCGATATGACCATCCAAAGGCCGCAATAAAAATGGTGGTTTCTCACCACTGTCTGCATATGAGTAAGTCACCAGATTCTCAGCAGTTAGTCGGATATGTTTCTTTGTAGGAACATACACAAGAGCTGGTTTAGCAATATTCTTGGCATGTTGGACAATGGCAGTGTATGTTGGTTTCATCATTGCTTGCATCCTCGCTTCAAAATCAGCATACTCCACCCCCTGTATGCGTATTTTCAGGGGCACGGGACGCGCCTCAGGAGGAAAATTGAAAAGGCCATGCGAGGTTGCCCCTATCCATACTTTAAGATCCTTTGCATTTGCAAGAGAAGTTGACAGAGCAATACGAATCTTATTCTCAGTTTGACTTGATATATATCTCATCCTAGAGACTATTGCCTCCAAGACTGGACCACCCTGACCACCAATCAAGTGGAGTTCATCTACAATAAAAAGACTAACCTGTTGGACATTTTTATTCTGTTTCCAGTGGCGAGATAAAGCATCCCAATTCTCTGGAGTGCTGATGATAATATGATATTTCTGAAGCTGTTTCAAGTCTCTGGATCTTTCTCCGATTAACTTCCCAACGCACAGTTTGAGGCCCTTTCCAAACTTCCCCTCCCAGTCTCTGTAACGTTCATTATCAGAAGGTGCAATATACACAACACGCATGGCATGACTATCAGATTGAGTACCCTTCTGATGGTTCCTCAATACAGCAATATCTGCACATAAGGTCTTCCCACTCCCTGTCGGTGCAGCAACTAAGACGTTGTCATCTGAGTTATAAAAAACAGTGAAGACTTGAGTCTGGATAGGATTAAAACACTTAAAATCATGATCATACAGAGCTTCATATAATGGATTCCTTAATGCTGCCACAGGAAGTGGCTCCAAGTCCAATAACTCAGTGGGAGAAGTATTCTTTTCAGGTAACATGAGGTGCTTAAAAGAAACAGGCAAAACAGTCTCTGAACGAAGCCACCTATCAGACACAACTCGTAAAGTATTGAGGTGGAAGAGGTTCATAAATTGGAGCTGTGAAGATCAATGTATGATCCTCATTACTATACTGCTTCTTCAGCAGAAAATATTCATGATGAAGAATGTACTCACCATCGTTATCCTCCAAGATTACCCAAAATGGCTCCACATATCCATGAAATTTGTCTTCCCATTGAAAGTCTGGTGCTATATTGAGCTCAATCTTCAGTACAGTGCTAGTGATAGGCTGGACATGAGCTGCAAGGTTTAATTTGGGGAAATGGTGGATAAACTTATGTAGTGTTCTTCCCATCTTTGGCATGCGAATAAGCTGCCCAAGCTCCTGTGGAGAGAGGTCAAAATGCCTCTCCCAATCCAAATCCTTCTTCTCTAACTTCACTGTTAACACATTGAACTGGCGAAGTGGTGTTTGGACACGCCACATCCTCTTTTCAACCATTTTGCACAAGTTCAATGCCTTTTCTGCTACTTGAGCCCATCCTCGTTTCAAAACAATCTCAAAAATAGCCCGTAGAAGACGCCCTGCATTCTGAGTAATGAAAACCATATCATATGTCAATGAAAACACTTCAAGCTTCAAATGTGAAATATAAGCTTGCAGCAAAACATTAATCTTGGCACTTGGCTATTCCACACTTCCATTGACCGAACTGGAACACGATCCAATAGTTGAGCGAGTTCCATCTTTTCATCCCGCCGCACAGTAACGTATTTAAATTCATCACTCAAGGAGAACAACCGAAAAAGCTCTAGCTGCCCCATTGTTGGCTTCAAAAGCTCATTATATGTCGACATTGTTCCATGAGTCACATAATAATAACTAGCAATCCGACCCTGTAACCTGGAAGTATCCACTTTTTCTCTCATACTTAATCAAGCCATTTTTGTCCAAGATGGTTGCAGCGGAATGGATTAAATCAGCTCGCCTCTCCTCCGACTTACTATCTCTTGTGAGAACGTCAGCTTCCAAACCATACAGGGCAGGTTCTTTCAACATGCGAACATAAAGGTAAGTGTATGTTAACCAATTAGATGCTTCTCTAGCATTCTGAACAGTTCCAAGAACGATTTCTGCATTCAGTTGATCAGCCAATTTGGACACAAATTGACTTTCAATAGGAAGTTGTTGGTTCATCAAAGAAAGATAGTATCGTAGTTCGTTGTGGCCAGTAATGATTATCCCTTCTCCATCAGAGTCATACTGAGGTCTTCCTGCACGACCCAACATCTGCATAACATCAAGAGGACTTAGTTCAGTCCATGCTCCCTTTGCTGGATCATAAATCTGGGTCCCTTTTATTATCACAGTGTGAGCTCACAGATTCACACCCCAAGCAAGAGTTGCAGTTGAAACTAAAACTTGTACATGCCCATCAGCGAAGAGATCCTCAACCAGTTGCCGGTCAGCCCTGTTCATCCCAGCATGATGAATAGCAAAACCATATGGCAGAAGATTTTTGAGATCATTGGTCTTGACCAAATCTTTAGAATCTCATGGCTGGCACTGTCTTCTTTCAGCAACCTACCAAGAGTGTCATTATCAAGTGCGGTATCTATATAGCACAAGCTTTCTCTCCTCGAGTGCACAAAGATAAGAATTTGATGCTTTCCGGCTCTAGCAATCACCTTTTCATAGCGGATATCATTCATCAACTGTAACCTCTGCAATGGCTTCCTTACTGTGATTCCGATATAATGCTGAGAAAGAGGGACAGGTCTGTAACTATTGTCAAAATGAAACAGCCCCTTCGTAACGCACAAGAACTTCGATACATCTTCATGGTTAGGTAATGTAGCAGATAACCCCACCAACCGGATATGCTCTTTCGTTGTCTCAATCTGCCTAACAGTTCTAGCAACAATACTTTCAAGAACAGGACCTCTATTGTCATGAAGAAGATGAATTTCATCAATGATTACAAGCTTCACAAGTTGGATATAAGTACGATCTCCTGACTTTCGGGTAATGATATCCCACTTCTCTGGAGTTGTGACAATAATTTGAGTCTCTTCAATGTTGGCGAGTGAGTGTATGGTCACCACTTAGCTCTCTCACTGTGACACCATAATCCTGCAAACGATTAGACAAATTGCCAACCACTTCAGCAACAAGAGTTTTCATTAGTGCAATGTATACTATTTTATAATCACTGTGGTTTATTGAACCATCCTCCTTATTCATGTTCAGCCGAATTTGATGAAGTATAGTGAGCACTGCAACGTTAGTTTTCCCTGCCCCAGTCGGGGCACATAATAGGATAATGTCAGCTTCAAAAAGTGCAGTCTCATAGACTTTGTTTTGTACCCTGTTCAACTGGGTCATTCCTTTGAAAGCCGGTTGAGACCACTCTGGCAAGGAAGATATTTCCACAAGCTTCTCATGATAATCGAATGGTGGAAGCTTCAATCTCGGCACATGAATTTCTTCATAACCCTTGTTGAGAAATCTTTCAGACCCATTTGGAAGCCCACACTTGTTTGACACCAAGAATCTACTTTCTTCTTGTGCAAGGCTAACATGATCAAGCAGCTGAGCCTGGCCTTTAAGCCAACCACAATGTGAATCCCTATCCACAAACTCATTTGCACCGGTCTGAGCCCGGCCGCACGGCTATACCATTTTAAATAAAAATAAATAAAAAACTAAGTAGAGCCTAAAAAAAAACTATTTTTTTAAAAAGAAACACCTTAGTATAGCCGCGCGGCTATACTATTTTTTAAATAAAAAAATAGCTTAGTGAAGACGCGGGGCTATACTATTTTTAAAAAAAATATAGTATAGCCGCGCGGCCATACTATTTTGAAAAATATCTGTGTATAGCCGCACGGCTATACAATTGAGTATGTTTTTTTGGGAGACTTATAAATAAACCCAAAACGAGTACAATATTTATAAAGAATGACAAAATTAAAGTGGTTGGACAATAATGCCCTTATTCTTTTCTAGATTTCCTAGGGGATTCTTTAGCCGTATGAAACTGAAATATTTCTTCTTTTCATATGTTGCTGCCGTATGGAGCCAAGAAATTTGGCGACTGTTCTGCTGGATGGATTCTTCACGTGGTCTTCATGCATCCATCATGTTATCTATGTTGTGTAGCTCTTCTTCTCCTAAGCTATTCCAATATGAGTTGTCATTATCTTCTACTGTAATCTGTTCTGCTATCTGGTTGTAGATTTTATCAAAAACTTTTGCTCCTGAAGTGCTGATCCTGTATTCATATATATCATCTGGTCTCCTGGCTGTGGATTCTGAATACACCTTGATAAATTTGGACTGGTACAGGATGGTCAAACGATCATCATTAAATAGCTGTTGCTCGGCTATTATTGCTCCTCTGTATTGTTGGATGTCTTGCTTAGTAGGCATTCCTGTTTGTGCTGATTCTCTCAGACTAAGTAATTCATCAAAAGAAATAATAATCCTATGTTGTGCTAAATCTGGGTAAATGCATCTTTAAACCACTCTAGGGTATACTAGTGAAATCTAATTTTACATTTTTCCAGAGAGGCAGATAAAAACTTATAATTTCTCTAAATTTTTTGGGGAATGAATCTAAATGCTTACTACTTTCAACATAAAGTTGACCTAGATAACCAAATTTTGCTAAAAATGCTGAAGTAACTATGATTATTTTTTGTTTATGCTCTAAATGCAATTCTCTATATTCAATCATGTTAATGCTGGCTAAGTAGATAGTGTAATGGGAATAGTTTTTGGTAATAATTGTGATGCCAGGATGTGGATTACTTTTTAAATTGAAAAGAAAAGCTTGAATATAAAGTTGAAGAGATGTATTTTGCTCATATTCTAATTCAATTATGTGACACTTAACATCTACTGGTAGAAATTTATACCTTTCTCTAGCTAGAGTTTGAAGAAAATAGGGATTTTTAGATTTTTGCTCAAGTAAAAATTCACTATTATGCTCAAGTAAGTTGAGCTTATTAGCCTCTTTTTCTTGTAGATTATACTTAATTACTGTGGGCTTATTAGCCTCTTCTTGTAGAGTTTGACATCTTAAATTAATAATTCTAAAATGCTTAACTATTGTATCATATTCTCCTTTTTGCTCTGTATATTTTTCCTGCAAAAAAGAAAGGTGTTGTTTTGCTATTTTATAATCGTAATTATATGCTAAAAACTCTTGCTCAAGGGCTCTAATAAGCTTTTCATGCCCTTTTCTCATGCTTTCAGTATTTGTTCTAATATTCCAAAAGTTATCTAAAAGAACTTTTTGTTTTTCTGCTAACGATGCTTGAGTACGATACTTTAAAGAAGGATTTCTAACTTCTTGTACTGAGATTTTTTCTTCTCTTGTGTTCTGTACTTCTTTCTTCGGAGTTACAAACTATATACACAAATTACACCGACTTCTACCATGGCTAAGGATGAAAAGAAAAGAAGAAGCTAAGGATGAGAAGAAGAGTTCTTCTCTATCTGAAACTTTCTATCTCTCTTACTCTATGAAGTTTCATATGAACTTTACATGCACACTCTATACAAGCCAATGGATTCACATGATTATTTCAGATTCAAATGTACAAACAAACAAAAGCTCTTAAAAGTATGTTCTAATATACTGTTGGTGCTGCTTCTGCTGGAAAAAGGACAAGGCTTCACATGTTGCTTTGGTTTTGACGGAGGAGAGAGAGGCAAAGGATATGCATGTCTTTGGTGCTTAAGATAAGGGTTTTTCTGCCATTTTGGAAATATTTTGGGTGTTTTTGAGAGCTGGCTGCTTCTTTTGGGTTTTTTCCTAAATTTCGCTATTTTTTTTTTATAAAAATCCACGTGTCAAAAAAGTATAGACATGCAGCTATACTATTGGGTTGGCAAGCAAAAATATTTCCGGAAAATAAAAGTTATCAAACTTCACATTGGGGTTTGGAGTTGGTTTGGACTATTTCAATTAAGTTGAACATAATCTCTAATCCAACATAATTAAATTAATGAATCTGTAATCTAATGTATGTTAGATCCAATAAAAATGTCCTAATATTACTGATTTCAAAACCTTGAACATGAGATTTGGGCTGATGGTTATAGATAGCTTTTGTAGGATAAACTTTGTAACAGCATCCTACCATGTAATATTGTAGATGAACACTTGCGAGATTAAAAAAAAATTAAGTGTACAATTTATAGCGCTTGTTTGTAGAATAAATCTTTACGCCGTTATCTAAAGGCGGAGGCATCCGAAGACTAGCAGTGGCCTTCACCCCCCTCAAAATTAGGGTTTAGATGTATATTAGGTTTTGAAGGTGAGTTCAGGGAAAGAAAAAAAAGCCTATGAAAATTTACTTATGGCCCCCCACAATAAAGAAAAGTTGGGAAAGTTAGAAGTGAATAGGAGGAACAAGTGATTTGAAGTTTCATTGTTTGACATTTGAAAGAATCACGTGTGCTATTTTGATACTTAATTGAATTAAAAAAAAATTTGTTTCTTTTTTTCCCCCCTATATATTGTTAAGGTTTAAAATTTGGAATTTTTTATTATATATTATTTGATTTATATGTTGGCCCTGTCCCCAAAATACATAAAATCCTAGTTTTGCGATTGCTGGCATCCTAATATGAACATCCTAGATCAATAAAATAAAAAAGTTACAATTTATTGTATTTTTCAATGTTTTCAAAAAATTATTGCATATTTTAAGGGGAAAAAAACTCTTCTAAAAATAAAATAAAAACCAAAAAGGTCAGAAATTAAAAAACCAAAATTGAAGAGGGGAGTTGCACTTGTACCATGCCGCCACCGTGGATGCCGGCGAAGAAAGTAAGGCAAAGGGTATTTCCGTAATTGGGACTGTCCCGATTCGGCTACAACGGTTGGTAATCAAACCCAATCATTCACCATTCTCTCCCCTAATCCAAACGACCAAAAAACAATACGCATTCACTTAATCCAACGGCTCAAAACAGACAGAAATTTAAAAGTGTTATCAAACGATTCACAGATAAGCCCCCCAAAAAACTAGCCGTTACACAGAGAGCGTCGAGAGCTCTAACGTTCCCTTTTTCTCTCCTCTCATCTCTCTCTCTCATCAACCCTCATTCATTTGTTTCTTCGGTGCCAAAACACCAGACATTCACTGACCTTTCTTTCTTCCCTTTCTCCGGCCAGTCTTCTCTCTTTTCTGGTCACATTCTGATGGACTTAGTCGGTAAGAAGGCCGGATCAGTCACTCCTGTGAAAGACCAACATGGTTCTCGATCCAAGAGGCAGGGAAACTCGAGATATGCCGAGAATTTGAACCCTAATGTTTCTCCTGGGCCAAAACCCACGGCTTCCCCCGCGACGAAATCGACCAAGTCCCAGAAATCGGCCCCAAAGAACCCAAACCCGGTTGTTCATTCACCCCGGAACAAGATCCGGGAGAGGAAGTTCGTCGTGGCAAAGAAGAAATCGAAGAAAGAGAACCCAAATGTTGCTTGTAAATGCAAAGAGAAAGGTAATTCCAAGAAGTGTCTCTGCGTGGCCTATGAGAATCTGAGGGCGTCGCAGGAAGAGTTTTTCAAGAACCGGAACGATGAATCGGATAGTTTGAAGGAGTGTGATAGAGCTGAGCGTGAACTCGAGGAAGAGATTGAGAAGGGTTTGAGGATTCAAGATGGGTTGGAGGGCTCTGCGATGAACGGGTCGGGTGATTTTGACCCGAGTGAGATTGACCCGTCTGGTGAAATGAGTTCTTCGACCTTCAAGAGAAGGAGGGACAAGTTGTTGGAGGAGGCAAGGAAGAGTGTGCCTGAGCGTGGGAAAGTGATGCACTTGGTTCAGGCCTTTGAGAAACTCCTTTCGATTCCCTCGAAGGACTTGGATGAGCAGAAGGATGAGGAGGAACCAGAAGATAATGGCAAGAAGGCAGAAAAGTGGGCCTTACCTGGATTGCAACCTCCTAAGATGCCTGAAGCACAGGTTTTGTCTTCTTCGTTTTGTCCGTCTGATTTGTTCTTGACATCTGAGAATCTTGGTTTGGATCGGCGGCCTTCAGTTTCGTCTTCATGGGATGGAAGTTTGGGAAGGTTGGCAACTATACTTTCGATTAAAATTAGCATTACTTTTGATGCATGCAAAGTGTTTGTTTTTTGTTCTGACTGGGTTTTGTTTTGCTATTTATAGTGTTTCAAGCAGGACTTCCAATGGGGGGCGAAGGAGCCGAAGAAATGTAAGATTTTTTTTTTCTTTTTTACTATTTTGGACATTATTTGGAGACTGAAAATGATTGATTAACTGATGAAATCTTGTATTCCTGTTTGAGTTTCAGAGCTCTGAATCATCTAGCACAATGGGAGGAAGGACATGGAAGAAAAAGCAGCTCAGAGCCACTAGCCTTAAACCATTCAAGCTAAGAACAGAGGTAAAATGTACTGAAAATGAATGTCTTGAAAAGTAATCAAGTTTACTTGCAGCTCCATAGCTTCTAACTTTGTTTGGTGATCTCACTGCAGGAAAGGGGAAGACAAAAAGAGGAAGATTTCATGAAGAAGATACAAGAGATGATGATAGAGGAGGAGAGGCAGCGGATACCAATTGCTCAGGGCCTCCCATGGACAACTGATGAACCAGAGGTTAAACCATTATTACTTCAATTTTTCTTTCTTATATACCATATAATAGATGTTGAGATATAAATACAAAATTAGGGTCCAAAATACATGAAGGGGACATCTAAGTTCATCCATTGCGTTTTCTTAACTTTCCAACTATATTTAAGTGATTTTATTGATATTGCAAGACAGACAAGACTGAACCACTGACTTAGATGTATATCTTTGATGTTTTTTTAATCTCAGTGCTTAATGAAACCTCCAGTAAAAGACATCACAATACCAACTGATCTGAAGCTCTACAGTGACATGCGGGCAGTAGAGCGAGCTGAGTTTGACCATCAGGTGCGTTTAAATATTATGCGCTTTGGCTCTAGATTTTTAATCATTCTCTACGTAGCTGTGCATTTAAACTAAATATGAATAAGAATATAGGAGATCTGTGTGGAAATGGAGCACCTGGGAATACTTCTAATCAAAAGAAGAAACAAACTTGTCTAGCTTTTGCAGAATAAATTTTGTGATATCATCCTAATATGTAACATACTAGACAAACACTTGTGATATAATAAAAAAAAGGTGTGAAATTTATAGATTTTTCAGAATAAACCTTTTCATCAGCATCTTAACGTGAACATTCTTTATGACAACCGTGAGATAAAAAAAGGTTTACAATTTATTGTAGACAACTGTGAGGACATCTTCATGAAACTACCCTTGTTACGTACTTTCTTCGTGCCTATAATGTCACTTTGGAGATAACAACTCTACACTAATAACGTGACTCATAATTTTAAAGGAAGAAATGACTTGTATGGGTGCATGACTTATCTGTTGGTATGTATCTGATAAGGGCGAAGGTTTTTAGTCTCTATTCCTTACCTCTTACTATGATACTTTAGTATACTGAAAATTGAATTACCATTTTTCTTTTGCAATGTGCGTGCACCATCAGGTGGCCGAGAAGATGAACCTGTTTGAGCAATACAAGATGGAAAGGGAGAGACTGCAGAAGGTAAACCAACCATTTGTTGTAACGTTAGAATAATTTCACTTGATCAGCTTTATATCATCATAGTTATTTTTCACCTGAAATATGCATTTTGGTATTTTGCTCTTACAGTTGGCAGAAGAGGAGGAAATAAGAAGGTTGAGAAAGGAGCTTGTTCCAAAAGCACAGCCGATGCCCTACTTTGACAGGCCTTTCATTCCTAGAAGGTAAAACTTTGATCTGATTGTAAATCGATTATACATAGACCCTTTCTCTTAAAGCTTCTTGTATGTCTAGAAGAACTATATGGAACTCTTCTGTAACTGTTGCATGATTGGAATATTCTCATTTTCGAATGACAAGGGTAAATTCCAAATTTTTCAGTGACTTCAGAATCTACTTATTATTTTGTGTGTCTTCTCTGCAAATAACATCTTACAAGAAAATGGTCTTCCTTTTGGTTTGTTTTTCTTTTTAGTAATAATAGATTATAGTTGCTTGGATTGTGGAATGCTGATGATATTATTGAACTTTCTCAACATGCAGAAAAAGAGAGTGCAGATAATTTTGGAATTCCATCCTTACAAAGTGGGTCAATAAATTTCGTATAAGTTATACGGATACTGGTTCATGCAGAATTTATATCCAATGTTTGGTCTGTCTTCTTTAACTTTCTGTATGAAACCTTAAAGAAAGACGAAGACCGAGTCCATATGTTGTCAATTCCTCCAAGAACATAGTTTGTCCCAAATATGAGCTGCATCCCATCAATTTTTTTTTTTCTCAAGTTTGTGCATTTAGATTTCTTGAGCGAGTCAGATTTGGATATCCTTTGTATTATAGTTGATGTAAGGTTTCTTATAATTTCATGTTTCTTTGTTGTAAGGTCAATGAAGCATCCCACTATACCCAAAGAACCAAAGTTTCATGTGCCTCAGCAAAAGAAGATCAAGTCCTGCTTGTCATGGAACGATATCGGCTCCTACACTTACCAAGAGTGAAGCTTGAAGAAGACAAGAAAGAACCTGATTTTGTTTCTCCTTAGCCATGTGCATTCATTCCCCTGTCATATTAATAACTAATAACCATGCCCTTTCTATTTCTTTCCCAACTTGCTTCTGATATTCTTTTTAATCTTGTATATGAATATGAATGAAGCAACTAGTTTAGTTGCAATCCCATTAATTTGATTCTTTGAAAGGTTACGGCGTTCTTAGTATAGTGTAATTGTTCAACTGATATATCCTCTGGTATCATCCAACGAGGTATAATGAGCACAACCCTATGCTAAGAATGCTTACTGCTAAGTAGCATACCCTCTTAAACCGAAAATCACAACAAAATCAAAAGCAACTGTTAAAATAAAAGCTTCTATAATAAAAATAAAGCTTCAAGGTTACCATTAGATATATGCCAACATCGGGGGGTGTATTTAATTGGGATTGTAAAAGATTATTTTGGAATAAGTAAGTTGTGGTATTCAATTAAGACTTAAATAATCTAAACAAGTCTTGTGGTATTCCATTAAGACTATCAGGATTTTTAAAAGAGAGTGTCGAAATCACATGTTATTCAATCAATACTTTAAACAAGTAACAAAAAGTCTTATGGTATTTAAGAACTTACTAATTTCGAAAGATTTTTTAAAATGCGGAACTTTGTGTGACTTTTTAGTGGAATGTATAAATACCAAACCCTATCTCAAATCACACACCCTAACCCATGAAATTTTTCACGTGGGAGGTATAAATACCAAACCCTATATTATCATACGAACAATTGTAACTAATATGATTTTAATCTTCACAGGAGTAAACATTTAGCCTGCATTTTAAGAAGAATAAAAAACAGTTGCAGGATGAGATTTGTCAAGCTGAGGAATTGGTCGGAGCATTGTGAATAAAGGGATCCATTCCTCTTTCCGAATTTGGAAGTATAATAGGAAAGATCGATCTTCAACTTGACATTAAAAAACAGTGAGCTTAGTGGAAAAAATCTTAAGAAACAGATACAGTATGTTCTCACAGTTAAACACTTCAAGATTCGAGTCGAAGAGTTTCCAGATTGTGTTATCCAGCAAAGTAAGAAGTTAGCCTAAGAATACAATTCTGTATAAATAAATGCTCAGCAGTATCTTTACTGGATGCAGGAGCATAGCATGGAAAAATAGAAGGCGCATGTGAAGACTTTAAGACAACAGCATTTGCATTAAGAAACTAACTACATTGATATTCTTAAATATCAAAGACATAAAATGAAAAGGCTAACCATGAAAGAATCGAATAGCAGAGCATGTAGCCTAGAAAAATACAAGGCACTGCTGCTAGTGCTGCAAGTGTGTTGGAAAAACACAACTTCACCACGACGTTTACAACCTTAGGCCATAACGCATGTTATTATCTGACTTCTCGTGTTACTAGAAAAAACGAAGTTCGTACGTTTTCTTGATTTTTCTTTTGTTTATAGATAAGCATACTCCAACTATAATCTTGCAAATGACTATAAATTTGATTTTAACACCACAAAATAATTAAACCAATTAATACAAGACAGGGCAAAATGAGATCGGAGTGCTCTCATTCTTATCAATTGGTCTGCGATTAAAACATCACATGGAACCGCAAAACAAACAAATAGGTTGAAATCCTCAGGCCAAAACATGACAAAATATCATAACACATAGATGGAAGTTTCGGAAGAAAGAAAGATTGTCATAACAACTAAAATTATCAAAACAGAAAGCACGTTTCGCTCATAACATCTTCTTGCCACATCTCTTTTGACTAACTCAAATCGAAACCTAAAATATCAGATACGCTAGTGCCCATGCAGTTCTAAGAACTCCATAGTTCATGGGGTGACCACAATCCGCCCAGCAACTTGGTCAAGATCCCGTTGACCGCTTGATGTGATTCTCCTCCCACTGTCACAAGCAGAGACAACATGTAATCAGAAACAATGTCGCAACTCAAGCCAATGTTGTTAAACAAAACTTAAGTCCAGAAACAGTTTCGAGTTGAGATATAAACACAGAACTCACCCCTTTGGGTCAAGGTCGACGATGTTCATTTTCTGCAACTGTTGTAGTATATGTCGGGCAATAGCACCACTGCTCTCGCAGAAATGTGGTGGACGGCTTCCATTCCTCTTGCTTCCACCATAAATCCTACGGAAGGCACCAACACCAAGACCTCCCCTCAAGTAGATCTTCCTTGCAATGGAGGCTGTACCATATTGAATGTTACATTGTCAATAGCAGAAATAAGTATGAGGGCATAATGAAAAGAGAGGGAATGCTTACCAGCTCTGACATAGTACCAGTCAGGATCATAAGGAGCCAGCTCCTTGAATGTTCCAGTCTTGACAATATCAGTCCAAGGAGGAAGCTCAATCTGCTCAAAACCATAGGAAGGAAATAAAATAAGAAAAGATGGCACGGAAATGGCGCAAAAGGGGCATAAAGCTATAAACTTATATCATTTCAATAATCTGAAAAACCCCAAAGTAACATAAGTGAAACAAAATTCTTCAATTGTCCACGAAATTATCAGAGCAGCTATTAAAAGAATATTCAACAAAATCATCCAGCACTGCATAATCTACAACGATGACTTGTTACTTCACAGAGACATGATACATTATTCAATTTTTATTAGTTTAAATAGCTGTAACAATCAAATCATATCAATGTCCAGTAACAAATATCCTACAAAACCAGTAAAATCCACAACACCCATATACAAGGCAAGATTGAATCAAATATATATGGCAAACAAGGCAAATTAGATGCTTCATAAAATGGTGAGATTGCATTAGCCATGGCACAGCATACTTACTAGAAATCATCTACGATTTCCAGAAACTCGTGCAAAGTTTCGAGCTTTCTTTGTTTTTTTTAATCAGAAAAATTCATAACAAATCAACAAAGGCAAGAGAACAAGGTTTTCTGTTTCATTTTCCCGGAAGCTAAAGAAGGGGTTCAGAAGTGAAGATACCTTGCCAGATCGCTTCAGATGAGCGGCGTAGGCCTTAACGAACTCGTGTGGGGACACATCTTTCACAGTTTTTGCAGTCGCCATAGCTCGAAATCAGAGAGAGCAATGACTGAGGAGGCTGACGAAGAAGATGGCTCTCTCTCTCTTTTCTCTCTAGGGTTTCTCATTCCGCTTTCGCAATATATTTATAGCTCTCTCGTTGCATCGATTTGGGCCACACTATTAAGGTCCAATAGCTGGAGTTTGACCTGAATTAATGGGCTTTTATACTGAAAGTTTGGGCCCAATCTGTTTTATTCAAGACCCAATTGAAATTTTCTGAGTCCAGGTGGACAGCAAATGACCCGACGTCGTTCTCGTGAGGTTTGGCTTCCTACTTGAGCAGTGGCATCCTGCAATTGTAGTTCGCAATTTCGCCATCTCTAGTTTCCCCCAAACCCAAACCCTAGAGGCTCTCGCAGAGAAAGCCATGGCGATGAAGCACCTCCTAACAACCATAGCTCGACGTCGGCCGCACAGACCCCCGGCCGCTCTCACCGTAGCCGTACGATCCTCATCAACCTCACCCGCCGTCGCTGAGTCACCTTCGGCCCCATCCTTACCCTCGCCTCCTCCACCATCCGCTATGATCTACGACCGCTTGGCCGAGGACGTCAAATCGAAGATCAGGAGGCTCGAGAACCCGGACCCGAGGTTCCTTAAGTACGGGTCGCCCCACCCGAGTATCGCGGACCATACCCACATCCTCACCGCACCCGAGACACGTGTCACCACACTCCCCAACGGCCTGCGAGTGGCCACCGAGTCGAACCTCGCGGCCCAGACGGCAACCGTCGGGGTCTGGATCGATGCTGGGTCGCGGTTCGAGAACGACGCGACCAACGGCACCGCTCATTTCTTGGAGCACATGATCTTCAAAGGGACCGACCAGAGGACAGCGCGTCAGCTCGAGGAGGAAGTCGAGAACATGGGAGGTCACTTGAATGCGTACACATCGAGGGAGCAGACCACCTACTATGCCAAGGTGCTGCAGTCGGATGTGCCCAAGGCGCTCTCTATTTTGGCTGATATCTTGCAGAACTCCAAGTTTGATGATAACCGGATTCTTCGCGAGCGCGACGTGATTTTGAGGGAAATGGAGGAGGTAATGTCTTAAAAACGAGAACTTTGGAAAGTTGGGATCTTGGGTTTTCTGGATTAATGGGGATAAGTGATTTTAATTTATGGTGTCTGTGGATTTGAATGTTTTGAGTGTTAACTAACGTTGATAGTAACTTTGTATTAACATGAAATCTGGGAACCTACTATTTTTGTGTTCGGCACACGCCTATAAACATGAACTTGACATTTTATAACAGTTTGCAAATAAATTTTTTTATGGATTATTTGGTCCATACTGTTTTCAAGTACATGTTTTAATATCATTCCTTTGGTGCTGCAGGTCGAGAAACAACCCGATGAAGTTATTTTTGACCATCTGCATGCAACTGCATTCCAATACTCTCCTCTAGCCAGAACTATTCTTGGACCTGCTAACAATATTAAGACTATCTCCAAAGAACATCTTCAAAGCTATATCAAAACTCACTATACAGCACCCAGAATGGTAATTCAAATTATGATAATTTTTTTAAAGTTGTTGTCCTTTTAAGCAGTAGATCATGCACCTGGTGTGGTCATCGTTCTTTGTTATTACTCTACATGACACATAGATAATCAGGAATTTGGTTTTAGAAGTGATTATCCTGTGGCTTATTTGTTTGTGATCTCTATTATAGGTTATTGCTGCTTCAGGAGCTGTTAGGCATGAAGATATTGTTGAGACAGTTAAAGGTTTGTTTACAAAATTGTCAGGAGATCCAACCACGGCTAGTCAGTTGGTTGCAAAAGAACCTTCCTTTTTTACCGGTTCTGAGGTAATACATATATCCTGGAAAATTACTTTTATCTTCTGTTAAAATTTTTTTGCTTTCTCTTACAATATGCATTTCTATTAATGTTGTGAAAATCAGGTCAGAATGTTTGATAGTGACTTGCCTTTGGCACATTTTGCGGTTGCATTCAATGGAGCATCTTGGACAGATCCAGACTCTATTCCTCTAATGGTCATGCAGGCTATGTTAGGTTCATGGAATAAAAATGCTGGTGGTGGAAAGCACATGGGGTGAGCACTTACATGATTTTAACTTCAATGGATTGAATACTTGATGTCAACTTTTATGTGTTTATGTCTTGGAAGAACATGCAATGATTAGTTTTGGCTACCTGTAAAACAGTTCAGAGCTGGCACAACGGGTTGCCATAAATGACATAGCAGAAAGCTATATGGCTTTCAACACCAACTATAAGGATACTGGCTTATTTGGTGTTTTTGCTACTGCTAAGGTGAGGGTGCCATCTGTAATAACTTTCCTTGTTCAGATAATTTATTTCATTTTAAAAAAAACATTTTGACTTCTTATTCTGGTGTGTAGTATTTTTTCTCTATTTGGATGCTGATAAACACCAATATGTGTTTAATTATGCATTAACAACCAGTCATATTAATATACTTTTATGACTTATATTGTGTTTTCTTTTTATTTCAGCCGGATTGCTTAGATGATTTGGCCTATTCAATAATGTATGAAATAACCAAATTAGTTTATCGAGTTTCAGAAGCTGACGTGATCCGTGCTCGTAATCAGGTAGCACTAAATTTCTAACTCTGCCCCAATACTAGACTCGTCATTTCTAATGCTGTGTATGTTTGTATTTGTGTATTTTTGTCTGTATCCAGTATAAAAATTATGAAACTTTCATGTTTCAATTTAGCTGCTTCATGTTATCGCTATAATATCCATTGCCACTTAACTTTGTTCCTTTTCTGGCAGTTGAAATCTTCCCTGCTCCTTCACTTGGATGGAACAAGTGCCGTAGCTGAAGATATTGGGCGCCAGGTACACCTTTTCCTTCCGATATAGAAAAATAATGATAGCAATCAGATTTGAACAATTGGAGTTGGCTAATATTATCTACCCTCCTGAGATCCGGGTTGATTCCCTAAACGAGTATAGAGGCATTAATTATGACTATGTCATAGCATATCATTTCCTGGAATAACGTGGTATATGTTAACCGGTTCACTAGGTGCTGGATGAATTGTTCTGACTAATGTTTTTGTGCCTTAATTGAAAACATGAAAACTGGTGTTCTATTAACAGTGTAGTAGACTTCACAAGAAATAATGTGTTTTACTGGAAGCTGACCCGGGCACCGTTGCGTATTCTGAATTGTTATTTATTGTTTTGCAGCTACTTACATATGGTCGAAGAATCCCATTAGCCGAATTGTTTGCTAGAATTGATGCTGTTAATGCAAGCACCATCAAACGTGTTGCAAACCGATTTATCTATGACAGGGTAGGACTACAATCTGTTGTGACAACACATCTTAATTGCTAATACATTATTCTGTATTCTCCCAACCTTTGTCAATCAAAAACTGAACACTCATACTTTCTTTTGTTGGTTGGTCTCTGCAGGATATTGCAATTGCTTCCATGGGTCCTGTCAGGGAGTTGCCTGACTACAACTGGTTCAGACGCCGGACCTACTGGAACAGATATTAGTTTCGCTTTGCCTTGATTATTTCATAATTGCCTTTCATGATCTATATGGTCTTGGAATGTTTTGTTGCTATGATGCAATTTAATTATTGGTCTTGGAGAGAGCTTTTAAGGCTGCTGTAATTTTTTTCCCCCCAAAATATTTTATAGGCTCTCTTTTTGTAACTTTGCATTTGTCATAAAATAAGCATTGCTGCGTCTGTGAATGTTAACTGCGACATAAAATTTTGCAAATGTGTTTGTACTACCGAGCGCAGCAAGTTACTTGCCAATGAACTCAATATGTTTGGTGACCTACATGTATTTTCTAGTCCTTTGGCACCAATATTTTTTGCTACAATTAAATGGTGGAATTGATTGGTAGCTCAACTACTACTTTGTTGGAATGAAGTGAATGAGCTGGCTTTTTATGTGCTTATAGTCGAAAATTATTTTTACCAAATTCATAATTTTCCTATCAAGGACGAAATTAGTTATTGGGACATTTGGGAAGTTCCAGGCGCGTACAAGACTCATGAGGCCTGTTAGTTCAAAATCCCTCCATCCCTTGACTAAGCCGTCGGTAATTACAATCAAACAAGCTCAAAGCTTTTGTCTGGTGATGATTGGATCCGGCCAATTATACTCTCCATAAACTTGATCAACAAACCAACAAGTATTAAATGAGCATCAAAGAGAAATACATATTTGCAGCGATCAAAAATTGATAGTGATAATTTGATAACAGTAAATATGAAAAATGCAGGGAGCCCATTTCATTTCAGTCGTTGCAGTTGGAGTTGGAGGGAAACCAACACAATGTCCCAAGTGAGAGAGAGAGAGAGAGAGAGAGAGAGAGAGAGAGAGAGAGAGAGCGCGTGATTTGTTAGCGGTTAGTTAAGAGGGTGGGTATTTAAATTATTAGTCTCGCTCGCTCGCTGGTTCTATCTTTCGCATTGGAAGTATCGGAAGACAAGCAAACGCTTTCTAAAAACCCACATAACCTTCGGGGTTCTCAGATTTCTCAGACCAAAACCTCTTGGATCTCATCGCCCACTTTCCCCATCCCTACAAATCTAACCCCATTCCCCTTCAGATCCCATCCCCAAAAATTTCACACCTTTTGCCTTCCCCCATTTCCGATTCTTCCATCTCTGTGGCAAACAAGCTTGCTAGCTTTTCTTTACATAACGAACACTCCAATGGCTTCCTTCACAGTCCCGTGCCCCAAAGCATGCGCTGCCCCCATGGCTCGCCTTGGCTCTACTGCCCAAACTTCGCAGCCGCAGCAGCACCTGCTTTCCTTTCACAACTGCCTCAATCGCTGTCCCATTCCCTTTCTGCAGATTTCTGGGCTTCAGGTTTGGTTAATTCGACAGACCTTGTACTTTACTCCACTTTGTGAACGTAAATTTTTTCACTTTACAAGTCTTCCTTGTTAAATTTTGCTTCTTTTCTCTTACCCTTGTTACTTGCCATATACTGTCCTGATTTTTTTTTTTTGGTCTGACATATACTGTCCTGTTCAGCCGTTAATTATGGATTTCTCTTATGTTCGAAATGGGTTTCATATGTATATAGTTATATGTGCATCATGTGTAACACATAATATATAAGAAGCTGACAGTTGGTGGTTATGCATTGAAATTGATGTAGTTGAAGAATTGATAGTTACATCACATGTAGGATTTTGATTGTGCTGTAACCCAGAAGGGATTCTAGTCAAAATGATGTCCTTCATGTACACCTGCAAGTTACGACCGATTAATGATCACCATAGTCATATACTGTACTGTCATTTATCTATAGCTTTTTGTTGCAGCGACAGTTCTATGCACGGTGAAATGTTGCTGCTATTCTTTTTTCTTTTTTCTTTTTTTCTGATCATATGGTTGACTTGTGTAGAGCCCCATCAGGAAGCAATCTGCTGCCTGGAAGGTGCAGGCACAGCTTAGTGAGGTAATTGCAATAAGTGTAGTACATGAATTTGATTGGACAACATCATCATCAATGCATAATAAATTTCTTTCTGAATCCAAGGTAACTGAGAAATCATCGAATTCTGCACCCATAAATAACACCAAGTCTGAAGATGGATCACTGGAAGGGAAAGATGAGTCTACTGAAAAGCGTTCCAGCAATATTCCAGATGCATCATCAATATCAGCATTCATGGCTCAAGTATCAGACCTGGTTAAGTAAGTTGCAGCGGCGTTCTTTTGCAATTTATATGAGCAACTGTGTGTCAGACGTACATTTTTTTAAATTAAAATGAGGTCATTTTCGTGGGCAGGTTAGTGGATTCAAGAGATATTGTGGAGCTCCAAATGAAGCAACTAGATTTAGAGCTCGTGATAAGAAAGAAAGAAGCCTTGGAGAAGCCAGCCCCACAAGCTCCTATTGCTCCACCACCAGCACATTATCCTTATGCCATGCTACCACCTCAACAAGCAGCAGCCCCAGCAACTGCTCCTGCTCCAGCAAGCCCTCCGGCAGCAGCAGCACCTGCATTACCCGCCCCTGCAAAGGCTAGCACATCTTCTCACCCTCCACTGAAATGCCCCATGGCTGGAACCTTTTACCGTTGTCCTGGACCTGGTGAACCACCTTTTGTTAAGGCAAGTGTCTGTGTTACTTATCTTTTAAAGCTTGAACTCTGAGAGAGATGGCAGAAGACCATTCACAATTTTCGTCATCATACACATCATTACTTATATTAGGAGTTCTGAATGTTCAGGTGGGGGATAAAGTTCAGAAAGGTCAAGTCATTTGCATCATTGAAGCCATGAAGTTGATGAATGAAATTGAGGTATGTTTTTGCATTGAAATTATTTTGGCTTTTTTTTCATTTGAAATGTATGTTGCTGTACTCTCAATTTATTTGTCCCTCTCTCTCTTTAGGCTGATCAATCTGGGACAGTAACTGAGATACTGGCCGAAGATGCAAAACCAGTGAGTGTAGATACGGTAAGTAAACTCTCCCTCTTTCACGTATACACAGACACAAACTAATTACTCTCTCATGATGTTAATCTAAGTGATTTGGCCTCCTCCATGCAGCCTCTTTTTGTCATAGTACCATGAGCAACTTGGGGAAGAATTTTTTGAAGGATTTTGGTGATAGACACTCTTTGAAGATGTTTTATTCTCGAAGGACACTTTTTGATACTATTTATGTTCCCTTGTAACTTAAATTTTAATAATGTTTGTTTCGATTCTGGAAAACCCTCGCTATTCACATTTTTAGAGTTTTAGGACATTGCATGGTTCTCAAAGATGTCAGGCAATGAGCTATCTTGAAACGTTATGTTAATCCTCTTTAAGAAAGTAATTAGAAAGTTTGCCATGAAGCTTTCCTATAAACAAGTCCCTTATTTCGTTATATTAAAACTCATTTATTGTGTACATTCAGCTTCTATTTTTCTTGTTTGCATAGTAGTCGCAACAATCACAAGAAGAACACCCAAAATACTCTACAAATTTTCTTGTTTGCAAAGTAGTCGCAACAATCACAAGAAGAACACCCAAAATACTCTACAAAATATGAAGTAAATTAAATCAAAATAAGATGCCATTAGTTTAAATATTGGCAACTTGTTTTAAATTGGTTTCTGATTGAAAATGTGTCAAATCTAAATGCAAGAGCACATCCAATTTATTTCAATTTTGTTAGACAGTTTGGTGCGGATGCAAAATTGGTCGGCCCTCGTACATGGATAACAACGCCGCGTCTAAAACTATAAACAGAAAGTTGACCACGGATGAGACAATGATGAGGTTTCTGTCAGATGTTACCAGAGAGAGTCAATTGGAAGGGAAATTTTCCCCTTAAATTTGCTACATCTACGGCCCAGAAGGTTCGGCTACATTTATGATTAAACTGAAAAATAGAGGCTAAAATGTAACACTAATAAATGAAAAATTAATACATATAACAGCTGAATTACATTCACAAAAAGAATGCGGTTACTATATCTCCAGCCAAATTACAGAAGACGGAAAAGGTAAGAGAAAGCACTACTCTACTGGATTTCTCTACCGTTTCCACAAATCTATTCTTTCTTCTCTCATTATATCCCTATATCTATTCCTTTCTCCTAAAACATGTACAAGTTAGCCTACACTGTCATATACTTTACTATAACCGCTGTCGACTTCTACTGTAGTTACCTCTCCTCCCACTATTACTCAGCCTCCGAGCCCCACCTGTCCAATCTTCATCATCATCATCACCGTCATCATCTCCACCTACAGATTTCCGTCCTTTTCTGGGGGCCGGACGTTTTCTTTTGATGTTGGCTGTGTAAGTAGAGTAATCAACAGTATCTTCCCTCAACGCATTCTTGAATTCCTGTACAACGATGATACCAGTCAGAAATGATGTATGGGCTTGAAGGCCAACTTCCAATGACATGTAGGGGAGAGAGAGAGAGAGAGAGAGAGAGAGAGAGAGAGAGAGCTCAAGTACCTGATATCTTTGTACCAATTCTTGATGCGTTGTAGGCAAGGTGGTATGTGTTTCACTGAGGTCAAAAGGAATGTTCTGCCTGGAGAGAACATCTCCCGGTTTAAGGGGATCAGCTGGAGAAAAGGCCTGGTTTGAAAGAAAAGTAACAGTTCAAAAAAAAAAGGTTAGGTCCATAAATCACTGTAATACAATCTACCTAAAGATATTTAGTAATTGCTTACCTGGCACCTTGCATCATTCAGGCTATACACAATCTTTAGGTGTCTCTTTAGTTTCAAAAGAAGCTGCAACGCAATAGCTGCCAGGCAGTCTGCCTGCAAAAGCACATCAAACAAGATTTGCAAGAAATTATAATCAATGAAAGATTAACTGAGCAGCAAACCCTAACAATGCCAATCAGTCTCTCCCCCGAGATTTTTTTTTCAGGCTTGTGGAAGATAAAGTCAGTACAGGACTACAAGAGGTTTGAAATACCTGGATCTTATGTTCATCATCTTTTGAGAAGCCATGGGAACTGCCGGATCCCGTAACGTGTATGTTTGCCCCAAAAGGAGTAGCTTGATTTGAGACAGACTGATCAGCTGGCTCGTGTTGTATTACCCCATTCCACTGCATTGTTGGCATATAATTTGTAACGGGTTGAAACACTGGTTCTTGTTGAAGTGTCCCATTCAAATCCACTAATGTCGTCCCTCTTTGAAAAGGCTGAGCAGTTGGGTCCTCTTCAATTATGCCATTCCCATGAGGCGCACCTCTTTGTAACAGATGCAAGGTTAGAGCTTTCAGTTTTGCTTCAAGCGCTCCAGCCCTAACTTGTATTACTCTATTTATAGAAAAGACCAAATAAAGCGGCTCATCAGGTGTTGTGAACGGTAGCAAGGCAAGTATTTCTGTGCAGTACCTGTAAAAAGAAATCAACTTTCAAGTCAGCATCCTCAGTCAGCATATATGAACTTCAACACTGGCTGGCGCTAATAATTGAACTCACATTAGGAACGGGACGACTGAAGTTGTCCAGCTAGTATTATCAAACTTGCGAACAATCGAAGACATAAATTTGTTCCTCGAAGCCCGGTTAGCACGAATAAGCTTATAGATTCGAGAAACCCCCACTCTTGCTTGAGCAAGAGAAATACTATCACATTTTCCCTTTGCATTTCCCGAAGCCTTTGTTGGAAATTTTGTGTTCTCCTGTTCAGAACTGGTAGTAATGGACTGTATGAAAGTAAACGACATTTGAAGGCCATCCCCCAGGCGGCTTTCGAAAAATGCAGGGTACCTAAAAAGATCCTTCAATTAGAAAGCACAAGCAAATATAGGTGATTACAAGAAGTCAAAAAGCATCAAGAGGAGAATACTTTTCATTCATATTCATCAGCAAATGATGTGCTAATTTTGAATTGCTCTCCAGAGGATCTGTTTCGAGTGCAATAAGGTATGGAACACAAGTAATAGGATGCACAAGGCCTTGGCGCAGCACAACTTCAACAATCTGCATTTATATCAGTAAATAGTATAGATAAATTAATAAAACTTCGCTGTAACATTGGGACCATGATACTTGAACCAATTATTCCTAACTAGTTTACCGGAAATCAGTAGAAATACATAAATAAATGAAAATCAAATTCCCAAATACATAATATCCTTTCCTCCACAAAATCACAAACACTAGCCAGGAACAGAACATGGAAGCCCTATGCTCACCTTAAGTGCAGATTGGCGAACTTGTTCATTAAGGTCCAAACATCTCGCTAACATATTATCCCAATACAACTGAACTATACCACCACAGATATTAGTATCCCCAGCACCTGCAGCAACAGATACAGCATTGCCACCTTCCACAGAATATTGAATCACATTATTACTGGCTGCATCTGTTCCCATTTGACTTTCGGCATCAAGGAGATATTCGTACATGTTTTGCAACGCTTGCATCTGGTCTCCCCACCCCCCCAAAAAAAAATATTCAGTATACAGATAAACATTGTAGTAAAAATCAAGGGACACTATTACCTTAAGACGAACATCAGAGCTAGAAGAGAATGTTGCCTCTAATATTTTCCCAATATCTTTTTCCAACATATATTCAGGCCGAGCTATTAGAACAAAGCCCAATGCCTGCAAATGTCACAATGCAACATTATTACATTTCATTGTAAAATCAGGCTTTTTACATTTCAATATCAAACCATGAACTTTACAATTCAAGATTAAAAAGTTCTTACCTGTAATGACCGAACCTTTATGACAAAATCCTCCACTAGAAGATATTTTTTAAACAAGCTGAGACTGCTTACAACGTCACTTGTTTTGTCAGAGTTACTTGCCAAACAGTTGCCATAACGGATAAGCAATCCAAGACAGAAAAGAGACCGCCCCACTTGCTGAAATTAGCAAAAATATAAAATTGTTAAAATTTAATTCCTAATTACATACATGTAATTTATGCACAGGTATGTTTGCATGTCTGAACAATCAACTGTGTACCAACCAGTTATTGGTTTGCGATTAGAGCTAAACATTAGAATTGTTTTTGAAAATAAGCAATACACATCTAGAGCGTATTAAATATGGATCATCAACCTTGAAGCACAAGGAACTAAAAGCCAAGATGCAAAGGGCTATGCAAAGAGCTCAAAATAAGACAATGACATAAAACCTCCCCTATCAAAAATACTTGTTAATAACTGGGCTTTCCTTGCAAAACTTTGTTTAACTCAACAACCAAAGGATACATAAAACCTGACAAGATAGTGCCTCATGCAAGTAAAATACACCACAAAGCTTACTTTGCAACCCAAAACTACAAAGTCCTACATATAACTGCATTCATGAGTATTCAACACTGTAGCTACCCAGTACTAAAAATAAGGTCTGAGCTTTCACCCTAGTCTCAGTTTTGCTCCTTAACTTCTTGTTAGAATGATGCATCCCCAGAACTACAAGGATGTCACTTATTTAATTCGTAAATCTTAATTTATGGCATCTATGACATGTATAGTGTGCATAAGGTTTCCGATCCTCGATTGAACACCACATGAGCAGTATAATTGGCAAGTTCACCTGTGGTTCATTCTGAATTTCTATCGAGTAATAATACAAATGCATAATTATGCACAAAATGGTAAATTCACATATCAGGATGTTTGTAGTGCTTGAAATATTAGGCACACAGTGTAACTCATAGGCAAGTGGGCCACCAATTCGTTAGTAATAAGAAAATCTACGTAATAAAGGCATCTCTTCCATCCCGTAATGGAACAAGGATAATGTTGCTCAAATTAGAAGTTTAGGGACCAAATCAACAATAGGGTCAGACTTCAGGGTATAAACCAGAAGAAAACCCCATCTATAAAATCTCTAATACATGTACCACTTAAAAGCGAGCAAATGAATGTTTGACATTCTCAGGCATGGGGCCAGAACTGCACAATACTAATAATATACTCCAAGGGATTAGACAACTAGAATCTTAGGAGCTTAATAACTTCACCAAACCAAAATCAACTCATCCTGGCCGGCATATAAATATCTAGATATTTAACATTTATCCTAGCAACGAATGTTGTGCCAATGCAATTTAAGTAACTACATACATAACCCCTTTACACATAATTCAAGCTAACAACCTGCTTGTTATCTACTGCCTGAGCATCCAAACGTTTGAAGAACAGCTGAATAAGATTCTCCACTATAGCAGCACCTTTTCCTGCCACTTTACTCACAGCACAGAGGCACCTGTAATGAGGAGAAAAAATTAAACCTAGAAGACATCCAAATCGGAAAAGAAATGCAACAACTATTATTAGTAAAATAGAATGTCTGACAGCGAAAGCCTGAACATGATCTTACTTGATGCAAGCATGAACAACTGTCAAGAAGGAATGCCGAAGAATCATGTTCTTTAAGTCTTGTTCAAGTTCTTCAACAACACTTTGTGGTAACTTTCGTACCAAAGGCAGAACAGCATCAATTATAAAGATTATGCTCTCCACTAACTGTGCAATCACTCGACTATCGGCCTGAACACAAGACAAACCAAATTAAAACGCAGGCATGATGATTTCCTTTACTTTCTTGTATAGGTCTGCACTTTCCGACCAAAAAGAAAAGGCATATAATCAAGTGCCCAGTCTAAACTGAAAAATGAAAAGATTATTGTAATATATAATACAGATACTACAATCAAATTGCCCAATTAGAATTTGAACAATCTCTTGGAGAAGAAAGTCCTAACGTGTTTAGTAGGTAAGATCTTCAACAATAACTTTTAGGATAACATATTGACCTCCATTAAAAGAACAAAAATTTCAGTCAACGCTATTGCTCCTTTTGTTTTAGTCTTGTAGATTTGGGTTCGGGGGAGCATACCAAGTCAAACAAAATCTTGTCAAGGTGCTACAAAAATAAAATTAGAATTGATTTAACGAGATGCAGTTAACCTGACTCTTTAGATAAGGCTGGAGAGTAACCACAAACTGGGAAGGGTCAGAAGCTGGTGCACAAAGTGTTGGATCCACAACACAGAATGCATGCAAAGCTAGCACATATGGAAGTGTCCGCCTCTCTCCTTCCTGGATATTCATTTCCTCTACCTGACAAAAAAGAATTTCTGAACATTCAGATTTAAATATCAACCAAATTGTTTTAGCAAGTCAAAAAGATGGGGGGAAAATACCTGCAATATCCTTTCCAGTAAGCACTTGCACATTAACTCACAGCGCTTGCGTACAGATGCAAGTGAGACGGGGCTTATCCCAATAGCTTTAGCTGATTGGGGAAAAAAATCAAGGGCTAAGTTGCGTTTAATGACAGTCACAAGAAGTTGATGACTTGGCATTCTCCTCAACATCTCAACAATCTGTTCAGTTTTTTTAGCCACCTCCAATGGAACAGAGCTACCATCTCCAAAGAACTGAGTTTGTGAACCAGTAGGTTCCTCAAACCAGAACTCATAAAATGTCTTGCAAACAATATCCTGTGGAAGAGGAAAAGAATAAAAACTGCGACCTAGTCAAGAACAAACAAATTTTTATACTTGTATTTTACATGTCATCAATCCTTAATCCAACGCATTCATCGCTTCATAATTACCTGTATACTTGATTCATCATCACCAATACGGGAGATGATAGCAATGCAAGCTTTTGTAAATTCGGAGAAGTTTGCATTTGAAACGCACATATCTCGTATGATTTTGATAGATCGTTTTCGAACACTTACTCCAGTATCTTTGATTCTCTCAGCAACCTTCTCAAAATACTGAAAGAAAATGTGGAGAAGATGAAGCAAAATGCGTTAATAGAGAATCTACGAAGAACTTAGTAGGTTTAGAGATCAACTGAGCACACCTTCAAACCAACATCAGGATGAGAAGCAATATGCCTCCCTACAAGTTCCAGTGCTGCTTCTCTGACAGAAATTGCAGAATCACAAAACCTTCCTTCAACAGCTGATTGAACGCGTTTGTCTCCTAGCACCTGCGGATCAGCTTCTACAATTATACTGACCTGCTCATCATATTAAGATATTAAGACATTAAATCCTGCCAACATAGCCACAAAATGAATTCTCAATTTCCATTTCAACGATTAAAAGTCTAATAATATATTTTTTCACTTACCGCTCGTAAAGCCTTGGCCCTAATTACAGGTGAATTCTCCATTAAACTTGCCTGAAATCAACTAAATTGTCAAAATAGAGATTTTATTATATAATAAATCAGAGAGTAAATGAAAAAACTTACTAACCAGAAGCAAATGAAGAATCTTATCAAACCCTCTGGAAAAAGAGTTTTTTTGTCCCAATGCTAAAGTAATCTTCTTGACTGAATCCCTTGTCAATAATGAAAAAACAGTCCCAGAATCCCGCACTATTTCTTTTGATTTCAGTCTAGCAAGATAGTACATGAACTTCTGCTGTGATTTTGGATCATCCTTGTACCACAACAAGAGATAAAACCTGTACAACATGCATAGCTTTACGATGGAAACAATGGAACCACCAAGTTAAGAAGGGATGAGGTTCAATGAGTGCATACCAGCGAACAAAGAGATGCCCATCATCAGCTGATGCGGCATCTTGAAGGTAATTCAAAAGCATCTGCTGGACAACCTCAAGTTTTGTAAATGAAAAAGCAACTTCAGTGTTTCTTCCTGAACGATTACGATCTTTTGTCCCATCATCTTTGCATTGTGACTTACAGTAAGATTGTAAAACAAGAAGTTGCTTCCTGCAGAGGCATATCTGACAGTGCCAACTTCGATTTGGAACTTCATATTCTCTTACTCCCATGCAATCAGCATGAAACATTCTCTGACAACCTTGACATACAAAGAAATTTTTTTCAACCCTACCATCTAAACAAACTGAGCATGCATTTTTTGGATCAGTCTGATCATCCCCATCCACACTAACCAACTCCTGTAGTATCCAAAATTTGTCCTTAATGCAAAGGGCAGAATCACGCTTCAACCTCGCAGCAATTGTGCCAAGAAGGTCAATCGCCATGGTACGTGCACCTATGTCTTTAGATTTCAGCCCGGCATTCTGGAGTAACAAGACACAAAGAACCTGCAAATAAATTGATTTCAACATGGTGACATTTTAATACAATTAAAGATATTACAGTCTACACAAGTCACACATATATTTTACCTCCAGAATAGGAGCTGAAGCGGGATATTCAGGTAAATTCAACGTTGTCAGCAGATCAGTAACAAGATTCTCCATCATTACTTTCAACTCTGAAGCTTCCTGAGTCTTCGCACTAGCAAAACGCTGAAGTACACGAGTCCAAAAGTGGCAACACGCCTCTGTTGCTGCCTCATGGCCTTTAGTTGGATAATCGGCATCAAGAGAAAGTTCTAAGATGGAATTACCACTTGATTCCTGCCTTAACGGTTCAGGAAGGTTTGCACTATAGTGAACCAACTGAATCAGCAGAGCAGTGATCATTTGAATCTGCCTTTGCTCTTCATCAGGTAGGTGATAGGCTCTCAAAGCTCGCTTCGAGAACGGTAACTTCCAAAGCAGCTGAATTAATTCATCTATCACATAAGTCCGATGCTGAGTGTATGAATAGAATATCTGTACAACCAACAATGAAGATGCTACAAGTTTCAGAGTAAATAATATTAAAATGCATATGTGCATGAAAATATGTATAGGTATGTGCAAACAATAGCTGCCAAGAGGATATGAATAGTGCAGATCTGTACCCCACTGATTAAACCCATTGCCTTCAGTTGCAAGAGCTGGATATTATCCACCATGAATGTTGTAAAGCTTGTTTTCACTAGCTGTAAGATGCAACCATCTGACAACCTTTCTATTAACAACAAATCCTTGAGTAAACCAAGAATGGTGCACATTTTCTGAAGAATATTATTCACAGCAGCAGAGACCCTACCAAGGCAAAGATGTAAGGAACAAGACAACACCTAAGTTTTTTTATACAAGGATCTAGTAAAAAAAAACCAACAACATAGGAGCAGAATATAGATAAGCACACCTGTTAAATGACGATTTATGCACTTTAACGGTCTTGATGCTGCGTCGTTTCTTGATTGCTGAACCAATTTCAGCATCAGGGTCTTCATCTTCCTCAACTGTTAATATATTGAAAAATATTGTCACTCGAATCACATTAGTTGAAAACAACTACTCCTGAAAATGCAGAATGATTGAGCAAGACAATATACAGAATGGAAAGAGTTGTGTATACAGAATAATATGTTAAAATACGTATGAAAAACTCAGGAACATATGAATGTAGTGGATTAAGGAAACCCCACCTTTTTCAAAAAACAAAAACAAAAAAACTAACCTTCAAGGGACCCATTTTGACTTGGCCTATGCAAAGCACGATAAGATGGATCATAAGCACACATAACATCCATTATCTGATGCCTAGAAAACTCCAGAATTCTTTCAATGATCTGATATACACAAATAAGAATTACTTACCTTTTTTATAATCATAAAAAAATAAATCACAAGATACGAAGTTACACATATAACGGATATCCACAAAATGTAGAGAGATCCTTAGCAAAAAGTGTGTACCTCTTCTTTATATAGTTGTTTTGGCATCTGGTTATGAGCCATTACTGCTAAAGCTGCATGAATGGACTCTAGTGCACAATTTATTGATGAAATCACATCTGAATTTGACTGACATATTGAAGAGAAAAGTAATAAATGAAAGTGTTCATGAATACCTATTAAAATAAAAACTCCAAATATATATGTATATAGAATTGAGCGCATAAATTTCAACCATAACGAAAATACTGTATAACAAGTTTATAAATTAAACTAGTGTTATAACCACTGCCAAATGAGTGAAACTATTTCTCTATATTTCTTCCTCCCTCTCTTTCCTGATTATTCCCATTATTACTCTGACCATTTATCACTCCCCAAAACTGTTCCCATTGCTCTCTCCAGTCTCCATTACTACCAAATGAAATTTATACATTATAAGTAGTCTCCTCCAAATGCTCAGATGCTTAATACATTCTCTATACTGATAAACATTTTTTTTTCCGTAATTATTTTAATCTCCCTAATGTTTCTGCCCAAATATGGTGACAAATAGGAAAACATAGGGTCAGACAAACAGTGATTCAGATAACAAGACCATTAGAAGATGAAATTTAAAACAATCAATCTATTGCAAGGCACCTCAGTAACATCATTACTAGCATGGAGATTCTAAAATCAGACCTCAAAAAACAAAACAAAAAATCATGGAGAAGGAAAACTAAAAATAGCACCAACTTTCAATGAAAATATAAACAAGAAGAATAGCACAAAAGCCTGAAGATATGTAGTTTAAGAAGCAAACTACCACAACAGCTATGCTATATGCAAGAAAGAATGCAGGACATAAAACAAGCTCACCTGCTCACATTCACTTATAGACAAGCCTTCAGCTCGATGTATCTGATGATCTAAAATCCTTAACAATCTAACAAAAGAATCTACAGGGACCAAATGTAGAAGCCTCTTTGCTCGAAGAGACATTATTTCATTTGCAAGCACTCTAAGATCAGAAAGAGGAATAGATAACCACTCAGCTTCTTCCCGATCATCACTGAAAATTTCAGCTCTACCACAGAAATCCTCCACCAACTCACAAAAGCGTCCAATGATGGCGTCTAAATAAGATTTTTCAAAATAAGTAACTCACATGAATATTGAAAATAAAAATGTGAGATCGTGCTTGAGAGAGAGAGAGAGAGAGAGAGAGAGAGAGAGTTCTAAAACACAATAACAACCTTGAATTGCAGTCTGATCTGGTCCGACTGATGACATAACGACATCAGTATCTTTTTTCTTGGCTTTTGGTTTTCTAGAAGATGGTGTAGATATGTCCTGAAATTTCATCTTCTAGATTAGGACACAAGGAGGGGGGGAAATGATTATCAACTGCCAAATAGATCAACACATACATTAGGAGGAATATCATTGAGCTGATTATTGTTAGTTGCACCATAGTCTCTTTGGACAAGTCTGGTTATTGGTACACTGGGCTTGAAGGGCTTCTTGTCAGGTACTGTACTACTGCCAGGCAATTGCCCCTTAATAGGACCTGAGAAACTTGAACAGTGCAAGAAACAATAAGTACATAAACATTAAATCATATAAGAACAAAACACCGTAAAGCACAATTAATTCTTTTTAGGAACAAAATAGTGTACGCACTTGCCCCTTAATAAGACCTGAGAAACTTGAAAAGTGCAAGAAACAGTAAGCACAGAAACATCAAATCATATAAGAACAAAACAAAGCACAGAAACATCAAATCATATAAGAACAAAACACCATAAAGCACAATTAATTCTTCTAAGGATCAAAATAGTGTTTGTAATATCTAAAGATATGTACTCAATTCACATCTATACATAGAGCAAACATGAGACAGATCCTGGTAATTCGCCATGAATCCTTTCAACAACTACATCAAGTAGAAAGAAACTAGTTTTTTTCAGCTTCAATTAAACTATGTTTTGAATAGTAAGTGAATACCATATGCATGTGTTAAAATATCAAGTACCACTCTCTAACTTTCGCTACTTGTGCCTTGATACCAAAAAAGAATAGATATTAATTTTATCATATCTGATCAAAACTGTTGCTAGTAAAAATAAAAAATAATATTTTCTCATTTCTAGTCATATAATTTTTAGCATTTTGTTCATTGTTATCAGTGTTCTTACCAATGAAATAATGCATATTCTTCTTTTTTTCAAAATTTTTATTTTTAAAAAAAAATTTATATGTATTTGGCCTCTCATTATTGTAAAATATGCACATTGTCGGCAAAAATTCTTGCCCCAGACAGATGTGATTGCATTACTCAATGAGGTTATAACCTAAGTAGAGCCTTATTAATTATATAATGAAAAATGGCTTTCACACTTATTAATTATATAATTAAAAACACAATACATTTATGGATTGATTACTTTTATTTTATTCTGAGAAAAACAGATCCCACTACTTTCCAGTTCTAGCTAAAGCAGCAATACAGAAACCCTAAGTAACAAGTAGGCAACCAAAAATTAGCATCTAAAGAAAAATCAAACACAAGCATGAGCATAAAAACTTATAATCAAAGCAGGTACGGAGCAACTAAATACTTGGTTTACCTGGACTATTGTACTCAAATGCTTCTGGATTGTACTGAAGAACTTCATCATGAAGTTTTAAAGGTTCGATATAACCATATGGAACTAAGCTAGAATCCTCTCGAAGGTTCCTGTACATAATACCATATATGAGCAATAACCAAAAAAAAAGGCAAAAACAAAATTCAAACTAAATCAAACCAATAGAACTCGATAGAAATTTTTACAAACACAGTCCCTAATCTATTCGGTTTTTAATCTAAAATAGAATCCTGGAGTACAATTTATTTAGTAAGAACGAGCCACGTTATTCCAAATCACGTGTCACCACCAAATTCACATTTTACAAACTCGTCGCATTAGTTCAAACACGTACACGTTGTGCTTCCTGTTATCTCAGTCATTAGAGAGAGAGAGAACTAATTTTAATCAATAACCATTACTTTTTTTCAAATTACTTAAACTTCATGATCGCAACTTCATAAAAACCGCAAAATCTACGAGTCACAATAAAAACCTACTTCATCAGAAAAACCGGAAAATTGACATATAGTAGCTCACAGCAACAATCAAGTACGCCAAATTTCAAATCGTAACTTAGGAAGTAAACAAAAAATTTCAACTCCAAGTAACATCGCGTACTTCTTTCATTCAAATTTCAAAGTTAAACCTGGAAATGAAAGCGTTGCGCAAAGCACAGAACACACTTACAAGTAAGAGACGTCAGTTTCTCGAAGCAGATCAGCAATCCTACTGGAAAGAGCTGCCTCAGGGTGATTCAACCACACACTGTTTCGACTCGGCCCGTCGAACAGCCGTAGGTCCTGATCAGATGCGCCGCAGAACACCGGAAGCGAAGGCAAAGGCAAGCATGGAGCGACTTCCGAGTGCACTGTGTTCGAGAGGCTGATGCCCCAGTGAGCCGAGCCGGAGCTCGAACTGGAAGTGACCGGATAACTCATCGATTGCTTAACCGGTGAGTTCGCGATTGGCACTGCAAGGGCATGTATCGAGAACGAGGTGGAGTGGCAGGGGTTGTAATTAAGCTGAAATCCAGGGGTATTTTGGCGGGAATTAGGGTTTTGGTTGCAGAGTGAGGGAGATGAAGGTTTTGGAGCCCTAGAGGGACAGATTGGGAAGAGAAATTGAGAAGGCAAATGGCGGGGAAAGTGTGTGAGGAACTGAATTTTCGGGCTTTTTGGGGGGGAATAATAATGGATTTGGGTGTTATAGAACAGATAACAGAGTCGCAACTGTTGCAATTACATAAATGCCCTCGAGGCACTGTATGAACTAACGAGTTAGCTTCCTTCGGAAGGCTCTCTTTTTGAGTTTTCGGCGACGGAGGATTTTAATGGGCTAGATTTGAGCGGAGTTCAACTTACCAAATTACGGAATTACCCCTGACCGGCAATCTTTGATTCTCGACCATAAGAGGATGATGAAGGTCAACTACACAAAGATTGTATTTAGGTCAATAGCACAAAGATCGTGTGTAGTCCTTTTTGGTCTTTCCGGCTTTCTCAGCGGAATAAGAGCAGTTGACACTGAATTAATACATTGTGCGGAAGTAGCGATGCTACTGTAAATTAATACTTTTTCGTTCTTTAAATTTCGAAATATTATCGTTTGGACGATTGTTAACCGTTAATAAATCAAATCTCACTATAAAATTCACGCTCATAAAATATTGTTATTAAGTGAAAATTTATAAACTTATCATAAAGCGACAATATAGTGAATGATCGTAGTATTCTTTATAAATTAACCCATGTTGATAGACAATAAAGAAAGAAACACTTATTAAACTAATTCAACTGAACTTCGTGTTTCCACAAACACGTTAAATACTTTGATATAGCAAGGGCATATACTTATGATCTATTTTTGAATTAGAGCAACACTATTTGTACCACAATTTTTTTCTACTTTAAAATTATTGCAGCGTTCATTACATAATACATATAAATAATAAAATTAAGGTTATGTGCTCGATATGATAAATACTTTTTTTGGGGGGAGGGGGGGAAGTCTAGGCCTGGCTGGCATTGGCAAGGTAGCAAGGCAACTCCTATCTTTCTCCAAGAAACCCAAAACACCCTCCGTTGGCCCATTAAGCACATGTAGCTCAAATCGTCATGCTCTCCGTCCTAGCGGGACAATCAGAAGAAGGATGGTTTGATTCCATTGACTAAAGAAGAGTCTGAAGTATTTTCTCTGGTGTGGAATAATTGCGGGATGTGAGTAGTTGAATATAGTCGGTTAGTCAGTCACTCACATCCCACAACGATTCCGTACCATTTATTCATGCATTGGAAAATTCCGTGTATGACATAAATACTTGAAGCACATAATATTGGAGAAGGTTGACTTAGGAGCAATGGGATGACATATAAGACGTAATTGTTTACACAAATTAAAACCTACATATAAGTAATTATGCTTTATTAGGGATTCTCAATCTCACAATATTGAAGCCTAAATATAAGAAATTACATAAAATTTGGACACATAATTTAAAGTCAAACTATAATTTAAAGCCGGACCTGAGAATACCAAAGACAGCACAAAATTAAAATTAAAATCGGAAATTTTTGTGGCTCTGCTCTGGCAAGAATTAAGGTTGACATTCTTTACCTCTTTTAATTTCAAATCTTCTTAGGAGATGCAACAAGGAAACATATCTGTCCAATGTATCGTAGCAATAGGATTATAGGAATTAATCACGTCCATTACATTACATTCCCTTTTTCACTCGATGAGTATCATCTAATTTATCTTTCCTTTTATGATAATCTTCCCACTTGTGCCTATAAAATTAACTTTGTAATTAAGAGGCATTCCAGTTTTTCTCACTACCACATTGCCATGGCTAAGTTTCAGAACTTGTTTACATGGGCAGTGTTCATCACTCTTCTGGTTCAAGCCATGGGCGATGTAATCCCTTTAGCTAAGGGACGCGCCGGCAAGATTTGGCATGATGCACACGCAACGTTTTATGGTGACCTGAACGGAGCAGAAACCATGCGTAAGTGAAAGAGTTTTTGTTTGCACCGGTTACATATAACCTCCTTCCCACGATAGTAAACTCGTGTACTTAATATGAGAGGAATGCTATATATAACTGGCACATAACAATTTTTATCTTTATATCAAGTTTTAACTTTGTGATTCTTAAACAGAAGGGGCTTGTGGATATGGTGATCTCTTCCAACAAGGCTATGGCCTGGAGACAGCAGCACTAAGCACAAAGCTGTTCAAGGACGGCCATGCTTGCGGTGCTTGTTTTCAGATCCGGTGTGTCAAGGATCCACAATGGTGCATCCCTAATGCCGGTGCAATCACAATCACTGCAACCAATTTTTGTCCTCCAAATTGGATTCCAGCTCCTGATCACTGGTGCAACCCGCCACAGAGACACTTCGATTTGTCCATGACGATGTTCACAAAACTCGCACAAGCGAAAGCCGGGATAATCCCGGTTAAATATCGCAGAGTCCCGTGCCAGAAAAGCGGAGGGGTTAAGTTTGAGCTCAAGGGAAACCCCTACTGGCTTACTGCATTGGTGTTCAATGTTGGCGGTGCCGGTGATGTTGCAAACGTTAAAATTAAAGGCTCTAGCACTGACTGGCTTCAAATGTCTCGCAATTGGGGCCAAGTTTGGCAGACGGGAAGCAACATAGTAGGGCAAAGCTTATCATTCTTGGTCACCACAAGTGATGGGAAAACACTTAGGTTTGATGATGTTGCACCAGCAAATTGGCAATTTGGTCAGACCTATGAGGGGAGAATAAATTTTTGAACTAGGATGAGCGTTTAGTTATTTTGCACCTGTTGCTTTCCCCATGTGTCAAATTTGAAAACACATCTTGTAATGCAGATGCTCAATAAATAAAAATTATTTTTTGGTAGGCAGCTAATACAAAATGAGGTGAAGTCCATACCCTAACTTTGTATTTGGGTTAAAACCAAGACAACGGCACAAAATCAACAGGATTTTTAAAAACTAACAAATTTGTTTCTGTCTTTCCAGAATTGAAGCTAGCAGAAATCCCTCAAATATTTTGTTCCTTGGTAGACAAGATTCTTTTCCTTTTATTCTAAATAACTTAAATGTTCTTGTACCAAACAAGGAAAGGATAGGGGTTATAATGGATATCAATAAATGAAAAAAGATCTGCTATTCAATTGTAGTCAAAAGTACCCTGATGCTGAGCACATTGTTCATAAGACCAAATGAAATATACTTCAATACAGAGCAAAAATATAAGGTTCATAAATTTAGAGGTAATGAATAAAACAAGTATGTACAAACTTTGAACATGCAAGAACACACGAAGAAAGTAATACCACTAATGCAAAGTGTTGTCACTGGAAATGAGAGTGTTGCACTGCGTTCCATATGCAGCCTCAGCATGCCAACTGAACCGTAGAAGACAAAAGCATCATTGTTGCATCCAATTTGGTGGCTCTTTTTTATTTGCATTGGCTTTCAAGTCAAACCTTCACTTCCAATCAAGCATGTCTAATAGCCACAAAACCTCTTCCTTCGAGTTTGCAGCATCCATGAAATCCATTTCAATCCCAAAGACATCAACAACTCCTTCATTTCCGCTGTCCATGAAAAGCAAAGAGATCCATGCCCGGATACCCGTAGTGAATGGGTAGACCGGTGAGAAGTCAAGGTAGTCATTTGCCATGGCTCTATATGCTGTTCGATCAATGTAGTCAAACTTAGATTTATTAAGTATACATGCAACCTTATTAGAATCCTTGCGCCCCACAAGCACTGAAACATTCACGGTCTGGCTCAAAGGAACTGTGAACCTTGGCTCAACAGGGAGTTTCATCTTGTACTCCGAGCTCTCCATGTGCAATCTAAGCATGTCACATACTCCTGGTGATGGGATTTTAATACCGTTCTGTAGGATCGGGCCTGGGACCACTTCAGAAAAGATAAATCGATCTTCCGTCCAGATATCGATGAAAAATTCCAGGTCATCAAAGGAAAGTCTTGGAGGAAGAAGAGTTCGACCAGGCCGGCGCTTATAAAAGGTTTGATACAGCTTGTAATACGGTAGAGTTGGAGGGTTAGGTCGCTTGCAGATAGAGGGCCATCTCTTGGCGCATGCGCACTTCCAAAAGAAATCATCTCGAGCTATGTGTCTCCACTGCTTAGACACTGCCATACAAGAAGCAAGGTCCACACCCTCCAGAAAAGGAAAAACGGCCTTCAGAACCTCTTCATATGTCATTTTCAGCTAGCCTTAAAAATAGAATATGTCCCTGCAACGATCAACACATTAGGGGACTAAAAGCAGTGAACTCACAAAAAACCTTGTGGAAAAAGGATAAAAACAGAACAAAATTCAAAATTCAGAAAATATACACTCCAACTTTTAGTTAAAATGAGCATCAAATACAAACATGCTCTAGAGAGAATGGGGAAGGCACAAAAACTATAGATCACAGATATCAAAATCAGTTCAAATGAAAACAAACATCAATATCTAAGACTCCTGACACTGAGTTTGGTTCTGAAGAGATGTACTCAAACTAAACACTGGCTTTTGATAACAATGTGTAAGCCAACTCAAGAAGAACCTTGCATTGGACCAAACATTCGGTTATGTATTGGTGGTCTTATTCAATAAGCAAATGCACTTTCATAACCCTACATTGGGCCGAATACATTTCCATAGTTCAACCAAATAGCCAATTTTCTTATCGAACAACCAGAATTATTTCTACACTCGGTACTTGCGTGCATTTTACATATGCAAATTGCCAACACGATACGAACAACATAACGTTTGCAAGAAATGGGGATAAATGTCCCCCAAATACCAAGCATATAGAAAATTCAGATGCGAGAAATAACCCGTCTTGTCATTCTGATAGCTACCACCATAACACAAGGCGTATTATCAATATACAGAGATTGAAATGTCAAAGATTTCACTAATCCCTGTACATTTCTAACACATATCAAACTCATATGCAGACTTCATCCTATTCAGAGGCAAAACTACAGGAATCAGAAAACGAAATCCATGACCGTTAACTGATAAAGCTTTGGGGTTAGAAAAACAATCCGAAATTTACACTGTAAACAAACTTAAAAACCCCCAAAATTAAAATTGACAAACCAAAAAGAGCACGCAGACAGGAATCAAAACCTTTAACCGAGATCGCGCCGAAGAAGATAAACAAGAACAAAATTGAAGAAATAGCTAGGTTGCTGATCTGAACATTGAACAGAAAATGGAAAGATTTGTTCTTTTCTTACCTGATTCGATGGCGGAATTGGTAAAACCCGAGAATGGGGTCAAGTGAGAGAGTCTGATGGAAGAGAAAAGTAAGCAAACTATTAAAAAATAAAAAATAAAAAAAGGACTTTTATTAAAATAACTATTTATTCAGGGTCGCAAATGCAAATGGTCCCACCAAGCAACGGAGGACCGTTGGGCTTGTATTTGGCGGAACCAGCTGAATTTCAACATTTTCAGGGCTTTTGCTATTGGCAATGGCCCAAGCATCAATTTAACGAAATCAGTGTTGTTGTAGAAATAGAATAGAATAAACTTAACCGAAATAAATTGATTGTTTTTTTAAAATTATTTTCTTGATTTAGAGGCATTAGAGAGGTTGACAACTAGAGTCAAAGTCATACATGATTGTGAGAGTAAGTTTAAAAAAAGACCTTAGGTTTGAAAAAAGAGAGGTTAAGAATCAAACTCTCGCAATTGTTATTAATTCTTGGGTTCTTACGTGATTTTTTATTTTTGTTTTTGACAAAATGATATTTTAAGCTACTCTGATGTATATGGAGGGGATCAAATTCAAGTATAAGGGGGTGGGATCAAATTTGACTCGAATTCGGGTGTAAGGGAGTTGACACACTACTTTGGCCAACTGACCTTAACTCACGTTTGTTTGAAATCTAACATTTATGCGTGGATAAGATGGGAGTAAATTTGAGGGTATATGGTTTTGAAACCAAGAATAGCAATAAAAACTCAGTTTTGGGTTACTAATTAGGAGCCGACAGGAGTAAAATTGAGTGTTTAAAATGGGGATTCCATATAGGAGAGGGGGAAGGGGGAAGAAATATTAGTAGGAGGCAAAAAGTTGGTTTGTGTTGAGACTAGACAAAACAAGTGGGTCATGGAGTTGCAATCAAAAGGGGAGAGTGAGCCATGTTCGATTATGGCAGCCTCTGCCGACCGAAAAACAAAAGGAATAAAGTGAAAACCTCCACATGTCCACATGCATCAATTGCTCTCAGCTCATGAATTGCTAACTGAGCTCTCTCCTCTCCTCTCCTCTCCTCTCCACTCTCACAAAGAAAGTGCTAGCTATCTGATCAGCCAGAAAGAAGAAAAAAAAGAAGTTACATCACATCTAGCTCTCTGTGATTTGCTTATATATATTTTGTACAATATTGGCCTTCATCATCAACATCATCATCATGTCCCTCACATTCATGTATAGCAAGAAAGGATTTGAGTTCTAGATTGACCATTCATATGATTGATCTAGACCTATATATAATTACCACCTATAAAAGACCTGTTCTATGTTGTCAAATTTATTCTAAATGAATACCAAATCGAAGTTCACCTTTTGACTCTTTACTCCCAAAAAAAAAAAACTCGGTAGCGCAATTAGAAATTTATTGTAATAGAGAAGTTCAAATAAGAAAAATCATTAGAGTTAGACCGACTCAGCGACAGAGTTAGAAATGGAGTGAACTTTTTATTTGAACCTGTAATTCTAGTACAGATAAACATGATGTGCCATATTTGTTTCACATTTAATGGATAAAGTTAAATATTGTTGGAAGTTTGCAGTGGTAGTTACAACAGAAGTCCACCTACGAGAGAAGACAGGATCTTCTGTTTAGCTTAATAAAATGGATCACAGAATGGTACTTCGATACATTTTAATAATTGACCGTGATTAATTAACAAAATATGTATAGGAATGATGCAATGTGCACTGCTTAGACACATGTCACACATGCCGGATTGAATTAGATTCCAATTGAAACCAAGTCTAAAACCCATTTATAAATATTTTATAATTATATATGAATTGATTGATAAAAAAAGTAAATGATTAAAGTTTTAGAATATAATCATTTGTAAGAGGGAAAGAGAGAGTGAGTTAGAGCAGTTGGTCACGATAGTGGTTAGTCTTTACACTTAAGTTTAATCTCTCGATATATTAGAATAATTTATAATATCGCTTTGTTAGAAAGAGAGAGAGAGAGGAGAAAAGGTGGTGCCAGTTGATCAGTTCCATGCAGGGAATGTGCAAAACATGCTGTACATTTCATGCTGACTCACTGTCTCTCATTTCATTTGTCACATGCCCTTACCCCTCCTCTCCCAGACTACACTCCAAAACTCCTCATCTGCATGTGCTTCCCATGTGCTCTTTTTTCTCAACTCTCTCATCTCAAGCTCTCCTCAAATCAAAACCCTCTTCTTCTCTCAAGCCAGCCCTCAGATGGGGGGCTTTGCTGGCCCATATCACCTTTCACATGCATCCTTTAGGGAAGCCACACTCCCACTCCCAATACAAACCCACCTTGACCTAGCTAGCTCACACTCCAACCTTTATTTTCATCCCAATTTCCTATTTTGCCCCTTACTTTGTTTCATCACATTATTTATAATTAAACACAAGCTTTAGCTCCCCTTTGTGGACAAAATCAAAGGAGAGAAACAGAAGCTTAATTTGTCTTGCTATGCCTTCTCTTCTGGATCATCCTATATCGCTCGTAATTAATTGTCATTTGCTTTGTTGTTCCCGTCTGTTGGACTTTGGTATAGTATCATGTTTGTCCTTTGTTTGCTTGGCCACCTAACCTATGTAATAGAGTATTCTAATTTATATGCTTACTAAGTAATAGATTTAATAATGACGATTAGTTGAGCTTGTTATAGACTTGTTGTGACTTATAACTAACAAGGTTTACTAACTTATAATCGATTGTGAGCTATTAATTGGGGTGATATAGCGTGTGAAATCTACATCAATCAACGATTATCAATTGTCTATGCACTCGTGAAATTTACACAAAAATCAACGATTAGTTGTCAACTTGACATTAGCAAAATTTTATGATGTATTAGTGATATTGTTGGGTCTTAAAAACAACCCAAATCGAAAATTAATTGATGTATCTAGCCTTGATTATGAGAGAGATGAAGGTCAAATGTTATAATGTGTATCAACTCTCATACAGAAAATCAAATAAATTAACTTGAGGGTAGTTTGGGAATGAGGCGTTCGACGGTCCCGGACCTCACATGTGCCGTTACAGATGGGCAGGCTTTCTGCCTTAAGGCTCGCAAGTTGTGCCCTGTTCCCGCTTTCTCCTTTTAATTGAGATGCCCAAACCATCGAATCGTGAAATTACAAAAATAACCTCCTTCTCCCCGTATGAAAAAAATGAAAATCTACTCCCCTGCTACTTGCATGATATTTTCTTTCCAATTATAACGCAATAAATAAAAGGCCCAAAAATGACAGAATCGGAAGAAAACGAGTAAACGACAGAGAAAAAGCCAAAAATGGCATTTCCGTAGTAAACTGCAACCCAAGTGTCAATTTGTGAACCCTCCATTACTTAAACTCCGAGAGGCCTCTTCTTCATTACATTCTTCTCTCTGTGACTGTTTTTCACACAGACAAAAACACAATGAGCTCAGCTCCAGGAAACCTCAAAGCCAGCCTGGCAGGAAGAAGAAGAACAAGAAGAATCAGCTCAAGAAGAAGACTGGGGTCACGTGCCTGTGGAGCTCCGAGAAGAAGCTTCAACAATGGCGGACGCAAGAGCAAGTGTTCTTCCAAGACGGTCTCGGCGAAGCTGGAGACCCTGAAGAGCCTCATCAGCCCATCCCACGCCGGAAAGACGCTAAAAGCTGACGAATTGTTCCAAGAAACGGCGGATTACATCGTTCTGCTGCGAACCCAGGTCGTGATTTTGCAGAGACTCGTTGAGCTTTATGGATCTAGTGAGAAAGAAAATATTGCTGCTGCTGCTACTGTATTATAGTTCAATATCTTTCAATTTTTCAATGGAAAGAGAAAAAGAAAAAGAAAAAAAAAGACAGGGTCTTTGGGGTTTTTTTATTTATAAATCTTTTAATTTAATTTTCAAGTTTAGATGTTGCATGCTTTGTGTGTTTGAAGATCATCACCCACCACACCCACCACATGAGGCTGAACTAATTAATAGCTAAATTTTTCATCAGATCTTCTGTAGCAGAATGTGTTACTTTATATCTTGGTGCATATGGTGTTCGTTAATCTTCTGCAAAAAACTGATGGACAAGTTCTGTAATTTGGATTAGATGAAGTTTTCTGCAGGGTTCATTCATCTGAATGAAGTTGAAAGATTTACAATTTTCCACCTTTTTTGCCTGAAATTGGTCATATTTTTTTGAATAATTAATCAAGCCTTTGTTAGGTTTTTTTTTGTTTTTCTGTGTCTGAACTAAAATGCATAAACAAAAAAGGTTGGAATTTTTTGGTAACCCAAGAGTTGGACATCCCTTCTGGCCCTCTCTATGTGTATGTCTCTCTTACTGACGCACACTGCACACACATAATTTTCTAAGCACAGAGACATATGCAATGCAGAGCAAATATATATACATGATGACATGATGGATCTACATCCAACCCACCCATGCATGATGCAAAATGACTTGAGCTCAGGCATGGCATTTTTACAGCAAAGCCTGAAAGCATAATATGTCAGTATTATTAATTCTGCAGAGAGAGACAGAGGAGAAACACTTGTGTGCTATCCGGCCAATCACGGTATGTCACCGTGCCTAATAACTTTTTCACTTGATACACAGTGACTAGTGCCTGTAAAATTTCACTTGACACACTGTGATTGGCTGGAAATAGCAAAACAATATTATTTCCGATTAACACAACTTTTTCTGGAGAGAGAGAGAGAGAGAGAAATAGATGGGAGAGGAGCATGGGGTGTGTGGTGCTGTTGCCAGTAGTGATTGCAGTAAGTACTGGTACTATGCTTGAAATTAAGAAGGGGAATGGGTGTGTGCAGTAAAAATTGAATTCTAATAGATATTTCATATTTCACATAATATCTTGATGAAAATGACAGCAGTGCCCCTTGTCCTTGAATTTGTCCTATCACTTCCAATGCCGGTGGTGGCATGCAGTGTTTGTGATGATAGTGACAAGTTTTTCTCAGCAGCACAGTCAAGAATCCCATGTGCAAAAGCCAAATTTTGAGGGGTCTTTGCCAGTGTGTATGTCTCCTCCTCCTCCTCCTCTACTCTTTGGTCCGTAAATCTCTATGTCTTACTTAACGTTCATTCTGCTCTGTGTAATTAAGTGCGTTTTAAACTTAGAAAGGAAACCATGTGCAAAAGCAAATCACAGCAACTCAGCATGCTCTTCTCTGTTCATTTAGCAAAAATGTTGCTTTTCAATAAATTTTGTAACATGGAGTTGATAGCTTGCTTTTAATGACTTCCTTGGGCTTGGTAGGCTCTACTCACTAGAGGAAAAATGGATTAAAAAAAAGAAAGGAGTTTTCAGTTTTTTATTTTTTGGTGAAAGAAAGTTTAAGGGGCGAGAGGCTACCCCATCCCAAGTTCAGGGCATACCAAGATCTCTTTGAGGACTTACAAAGGGGGTCTTAGCTCCTTTTTTAGTTTATACAAATTACCCATCAAGATGTATTGTCGGCAGTGGGACTCGAACCTAGATCTTGATAGCGAAGAGAACGATCCTTACCAACTCAACCAACCCTTGTTGGCGAGTTTTGAGTTTTGATTTGAGATAAGAAAGTGTTTCACAGAAATAAATGTCCCCATCTGAATTTGAGTCCTTGTTCTTTCATTTCAAAAAGCAACCTTGACTGGCTACAATCGACAAGCCTACAAGCAAAATGTATGTCACATCTTCATCACCTAGCATTTGCCCATACTCTTGGAGCCGGAGGAAAAACATTGCTTTCTCTTCTTTCGAATAACTCCAATAAAATACGTCATCTGCAGACGGCAGGTTCGGTCCGTACTTAATAATTTCAAATGGTTACATTGTATTTAGTCATTTCAAATACGTTGTATCGAATATCTAATAGTTCTATGATTCTTCCAACTAGTCGAGTAACAATTTGATACAAATAGTATATTGCATCACTGTATCAACTGGTACATTGGCCTTACATCAATTCTTGAAACAGATTAGTCAGTAGGCCACTTGCCTATGACTTCATCCATTCAATAAAATTCTTGAAGGTCTTGTTGGATTGGCCACCTTCTTTGACACTGGTCATGGCCAATTCCTTGAGTTTGGAAGCTCTTGCTTTGAAACCTACATCACCAAGCAGTTGGTCCAATTTGTTCATGATTTCTCCTTGTGTAATGATCCCACGTTCATTCTTGTTGAACTTCAACCCCACATTCCAAACATCACAAATGTAGCTCTCATTAAAGAGCTGGTCAGCAAAGTATGGCCAGCACAGGAAAGGAACCCCATTGCTTATACCTTCTATTGTAGAGTTCCAACCACAGTGGCTTAAGAAGCAAGCAATGGAAGGATGAGCTAGAACCTTTTGTTGAGGTGCCCAACCCACCATCAAACCGCGAGACGCTGCTCGATCTTGATATCCTTCGGGGTAGAGATTACATGTTTTTTCAGTAGTGTCTGGCCTCACAACCCAGAGGAATGGCCTTTGGGACAGCTCAAGAGCCAGAGCCAATTCTTGGAATTGTGTTTGATCAAAAACTGTGATGCTGCCAAATGCAACATAGATGACTGAGCAGGGTGGCTGTTGATCCAGCCAATTTAAGCAAGTTAAGTCTTGTGGCCAGAAGTAGCCTGCTGAATTCCCAAGCCTGTTGCTTGCCAAGAGTGGGCCAATTGGTAAAATCTCAGGTGCCAAGGTGAAAGCTGCTGGTTCTAGATCGTATGCCGAGTTGCAAAGGAGCCAGTCTGCGGCTAGCGTAGTCTTGTTGCTTTTTACCATAGCTTGAAACATAATTTTCTGAGTGGTTAAGTCGCCAATACATGACCACAACAAGTGTTCAGTTTTCATGATGGGCATGTCTGGTGCCAACTGAAACATTCGGCCTTTTGGGGCAGTTCCTGCCACAAGTGAACCGTTGTGAAATGATAACAGTTAAAAACAGAACTCCAGAATTGAACTTGTTCAAATTTCCAAGTAGTCATTGGATCAAAATTTTACATTTCAGATGAGATGAGTGAGCTTGAACAATCTTGATGAAGAATTTGTTGGACTAAAATATTATGTACTTGACAAGTTAGGGGTAAGAGGATCTCACCATCATTGTTAATGATTCCTTCATGAATTAACTTTGGTACACTAAGTTTCAACGCCAAGACTGCAGCTGCAGCAGGATAAAAGGCAACCCTCCTGATTTTCATTTTCTCTGCTACTTCAAGAATCCACCCGGAAGTCTGATCAGCAATGACACAAGTGATTTTTTGGCCTTCCCCTTGGTTAATCTTCTCTATCAGCTCCTCCAACTTCCCGGGCATGACTCGTTGCATTGCTTCCGATAACCGCCCTGGCTCATGCATGTCCTCCAACGGTTCTAAGCCGTCTGGAATCGAAACTAGATGAATATGATCCCTGTTTATATGACTTTCATCAGCCAAAGCATTCATGACTCGCTTGTGATTGTGCTCTGTGTTCACAAATGTGACTTTGAAGCCATGATTAGCTAAACACTGTGACAACTCCATCAAGGGAATTACATGACCCTGTAATGGATAAGGAATAGCTAAAATATGCTGTTTGCTCATTCTTTTTCTTTATTTTTCGTTTTCCCACTTTCAGATGTTTTCTCATCTTAATCAGGTCTTTTTAATTATGAGGAACCATGACTGTCGGTGTTGACTTCATTGGTACTGGTCTTATTTTTAAGCCATTGATTTGGTTTATTATATCGTTGTTTTCTTGATGCTTTGGTGAATGTGTAATTTCTTAGTCGTTCTTTGTGGAAGTATCGAAGGTGTTAAATACGCAATAGACAAAGGTGTTCTTTTCATGCTAGGGTCACTTGAATCAAATGGCCAATGAGAGTGATTAGAGGTGTCAACATGTTTGATTGACATTGACATTGAAATGGTGAAATTGTCATACATTATTGTACATTGAATATAGCTGATATAAGTTACTTCATGTCTTTATTCAATAGTAATAACCTTGATAAGACATGACTTCAGTAGGTAAGATAGAGATCTTCTTCTTCTATGCAGTCCTTAAGCTCTTTCTCTTGTGGGGTGAGATTTCTGTATGAGTAGTTGATTAACTGCTAGAGAAGGGACCTCTATTTATATGCATTTACTTAAGTTTCCTGCCCATTAAGAAATACTTAAGTAATCCAGTTTGCACTAGGATAGTTTGTTTCAATCCATATGGAATTAGGAATTCTCTAAGTTCTTGTTTCCTATTAAAACACTCTTAGAAAAAGAACCGCAGATTATGTTTAAGTATGTACTCCTAGATCAGTGTAAATTGCCGAATCCTTATAGGATTAGAAGACCATAATCATGTAAGACAAGTTAGCTGAAACATATGAATTTTGACATATCATATGGTGCACTCTTGAACTTCAAACTTGAATTTTGAGATAAGGGACTTGTAGCTCAAGTAGTAGTAATTACCTCTGCACTCGAGGTTTTAGGTTTGATTCCCTCTTCCCTAATAACGCTTGTATTTATAAATTTTTTATATTTAAAAAAACCTGAATTTTGAGTAGACGAAACCAAATGATAGGCGACTTGCTTGCTTACGATTTGATCCATTCAATAAAATTCTTAAAGGCCTTGTTGGATTGGCCCCTTTCTTTGACACTGGTCATGGCCAATTCCTTGAGTTTGGAAGCTCTTGCTTTGAAATTTTCATCACCAAGCAAAGGAACCCCATTGGTTAAACCTTCTATTGTAGAGTTCCAACCACAGTGGCTTAAGAAGCAAGCAATGGAAGGATGAGCTAGAACCTTTTGTTGAGGTGCCCAACCCACCATCAAACCGCGAGATGCTACTCGATCTTGATATCCTTCGGGGTAGAGTTTGAAGGAAGTTGAGATTCCACCCCAAAACCAATTGGCAATGGGGGGAGTAGCCCAACTCCTTATAAGTCTTTACTAGGTTTCTCAACTTTTCAATGTGGGACTTTTTACCTTCACATTCTCACATGCCCCCGCACGTATGACGAATTTTCAAGCCTAACACATGGACAACACATTTTGGGTGACGTGGAGCACGTGTGGCCGTTGGGCTTTCACACGTGGGCAACCCGCTTTGATACCATGAAGGAAGTTGAGATTCCACCCCAAAACCAATTGGCAATGGGGGGAGTAGCCCAACTCCTTATAAGCCATTGCTAGGTTTCTCAACTTTCCAATGTGAAACTTTTTACCTTTACAATCTCACAAAGATTACATGTTTTTTCAGTAGTGTCTGGCCTCACAACCTAGAGGAATGGCCTTTGGGACAGCTCAAGAGCCAGAGCCGATTCTTGGAATTGTGTTTGATCAAAAACTGTAAAGCTGCCAAATGCAACATAGATGACTGAGCAGGGTGGCTGTTGATCCAGCCAATTTAAGCAAGTTAAGTCTTGTGGCCAGAAGTAGCCTGCTGAATTCCCAAGCCTGTTGCTTGCCAAGAGTGGGGAATTGGTAAAATCTCAGGTGCCAAGGTGAATGCTGCTGGTTCTAGATCGTATGTCGAGTTGCAAAGAAGCCAGTCTGTGGCTAGCGTAGTCTTGTTGCTTCTTACCAAAGCTTGAAATATAATTTTATGAGTGGTTAAGTCACCAATACATGACCACAACAAGGGTTCAGTTTTCATGATGGGCATGTTTGGTGCCAACTGAAACATCTGGCCTTTTGGGGCAATTCCTGCCACAAGTGAACCGTTGTGAAATGATAACAGATAAAAACAGAACTCCAGAATTGAACTTTTTCAAATTTTCAAATAGTCATTGGATTAAAGTTTTACATTTCAGATGAGATGAGTGAGCTTGAACAATCTTGGTGAAGAACTAGTTGGACTAAAATATTATGTACTTGACAAGTTAGGGGTAAGTGGATCTCACCATCATTGTTAATGATTCCTTCATGAATTAACTTTGGTATACTAAGTGTTATCGCCAAGACTGCAGCTGCAGCAGGATAAAAGGCAACCCTCCTGATTTTCATTTTCTCTGCTACTTCAAGAATCCACCCGGAAGTCTGATCAGCAATGACACAAGTGATTTTTTGGCCTTCCCCTTGGTTGATCTTCTCTATCAGCTCTTCCAACTTCCCAGGCATGACTCGTTGCATTGCTTCCGATAACCGCCCTAGCTCATTCCTGTCCTCCAACGGTTCTAAGCCGTCTGGAATCGAAACTAGATGAATATGATCCTTGCTTATATGACTTTCATCTGCCAAAGCATTCATGACTCGCTTGTGATTGTGCTCTGTGTTCACAAATGTGACTTTGAAGCCATGATTAGCTAAACACTGTGACAACTCCATCGAGGGAATTACATGACCTTGTGCTGGATACAGAATAGCTAAAATATGTTGTTTGCTCATTCTTTTTTTATTTTTCGTTTTCCCACTTTCAGATGTTTTCTCATCTTAATCAGGTCTTTATAATTATGAAGAGCCATTACTGTTGGTGTTGACTTCATTGGTACTGGTCTTATTCTTAAGTCATTAATTTGGTTTATTATATCGTTGTTTTCTTGATGCTTTGGTGAATGTGTAATTTCTTAGTTGTTCTTTGTGGAAATATTAAGGCCCCGTTTGGTTCATGGGAAATGAGACTTGGGGATGGGAAATCAATTGCTTTCCCATGTTTGGTGAGTTCAGGCATGAGAAATCATTTCTTGGCCCATGGAAAAGTAGGGGGGGGGAAGTGAGGCCATCCTCCCAACTTGGGTTTTGTTTTCCCTCCTCATAGGAAAGTTTGGAAAAATGAGCCAATATTAAATAAACATTTTTCACTACCATTTTGTCCCCGTTTGGTTCAAATGCATTCTTTTTTTATTTGATTTAATATGGGTATAATTGAAAATTTATACAAACTTTGATTTCCATTCCCACTCAAAACAAACATGGGAAAGGAAATAAGTGATATCTCTCGGTTACTTTCCCAGCATTACCAAACGTGGGAAAGTAATCTTCCATTTCCCATCCCTTGGGAAATAACATGGGAAATGATTTCCCCTCAAATTTATTTCGTGAACCAAACGGGGCCTAAAGATGTTAAATACGCAATAGACAAAGGTGTTCTTTTCATGCTAGGTGTGAGAGCGATTTCGTCCCACGGGAATATTCGTCTAAGATTCCTCCTTTCTCTTTGTCGTCTCTTTATGGTGGCTAGGGTCTATGAGAGGGAATTTCTGCAGAGTTTCAGATAGGATTTTTGACTTACCTCAACCCTTGTGCGTAACTATCTATTTATAGGGGCCTCGGAGGCTAGGGTTTCAGAAGAATAATTCCACAGATAGAAAGAAATTATTCTTCCCTGATTTGGCTAGATTGGTGTAATTAGGGATTTGATTTAAATCAAATCCCTTATTAAAGCGAGAATCAAATAAATCCCCAATTAAATCATGTAACTCCCAATTAAATCGAGTGACTCTCAATTAGGTCAAATAATTCCCAAATTGATTGGCTTAATTATTTGACCTAGGATGAGATATTTTGTTTCCACACTAGGGTCACTTGAATCAAATGGCCAATGAGAGTGATTAGAGGCGTCAACATGTTTGATTGACATTGACATTGAAATGGTGAAAATGTCATACATTATTGTTCATTGAATATAGCTGATGTAGGTTATTTCATGTATTTATTCAATAGTAATAACCTTGATTAGACATGACTTCAGTAGGTAAGATAGAGATCTTCTTCTTCTATGCAGTCCTTAAGCTCTTTCTCTTATGGGGTGAGATTTCTGTATGAGTAGTTGATTAACTGCTAGAGAAGGGACCTCTATTTATATGCATTTACTTAAGTTTCCTGCCCATTAAGAAATACTTAAGTAATCCAGTTTGCATTATGATAGTTTGTTTCAATCCATATGGAATTAGGAATTCTCTAACCCTTCGTTTGGATGAGGGAAAATAACTCGGAATTTAGGTAAAAGTTGGGAATTGAAGAAGAGAAATTGACAATTCTCTTGTTTGGCAACTTAAACGCGGAACTTATTAAATGATGTATGGAAAAAATCATGGAAATTGAGGCATCAAATTCCCGAGTTTAATTTCCACCAAACAAGTTCAACTTAAACGCGGAACTTATTTAAGTTCTTGTTTCCTATTAAAACACTCTTAGAAAAAGAACTGCAGATTATGTTTAAGTCTGTACTCCTAGATCAGTGTAAATTGCCGAATCCTTATAGGATTAGAAGCCCATAATCATATAAGACAAGTTATTGTCTTACAGCTGAAACATATGAATTTTAACATATCATATGGTGCGCTCTTGAACTTCAAACTTGAATTTTGAGGTAAGGGCCTTGTAGCTCAAGTAGTAGTAATTACCTCTGTACTTGAGGTTTTAGGTTCGATTCTCCATTCCCTAATAATGCTTGCATTAAATATTTATAAAAAAAAACAAAAAAAAAACTTGAATTTTGAGTAGACGAAACCAAATGATAGGCGACTTGCTTGCTTACGATTTGATCCATTCAATAAAATTCTTAAAGGTCTTGTTGGATTGGCCCCCTTCTTTGACACTGGTCATGGCCAATTCCTTGAGTTTGGAAGCTCTTGCTTTGAAATTTTCATCACCAAGCAGTTGCTCCAACTTGTTCATGATTTCTCCTTGAGTTATGATCCCATTTTCATTCTTACTGAACTTCAACCCCACCTTCCAAACATCAGAAATGTAGCTCTCATTAATGAACTGGTCAGCAAAGTATGGCCAGCACAAGAAAGGAACCCCATTGGTTAAACCTTCTATTGTAGAATTCCAACCACAGTGGCTTAAGAAGCAAGCAATAGAAGGATGAGCTAGAACCTTTTGCTGAGATGCCCAACCCACCATCAGACCGCGAGAGGCTACACGCTCTTGATATCTTTCTGGGTATGGATCACATGTCTTGTCAGTAGTATCTGGCCTTACAACCCAGAGGAATGGCCTTTGGGATAGCTCAAGAGCCAGAGCCAGTTCTTGGAATTGGGTTTGATCAAAAACTGTGAAGCTGCCAAATGCAACATAGATGACTGAGTTGAGTGGCTGTTGATCCAGCCACTGCAAGCAAGTTGAGTCTTGTGGCCAAAAGGAGCCTGCTGAATTTCTGACCCGGTTGCTTGCCAAGAGTGGGCCTATTGGTAAAATTTCAGGGGCCGAGGTGAATGCTTCTGGCTCAAAGTCATATGTTGAGTTGCAAACAAGCCTTTCTACCAGTTTCAGAGTCCTGTTGATTCTTAACATTACCTCAAATATCATTTTCTGAGTGGTAAAGTCACCTATGCATGCCCACACAAAGTCTTTAGTGTTCATGGTGGGCATGTTTGGTCCCAAGTCAACATTCTGGCTTTTCAATACAGTTCCTGCCAAAAGTGAAAGATTATGAAAAAGATAAGGACAATAACTGAAGATACCCCAAAAAATCCCACATCAATGTGCTGACGAAGTACTTTAAATCTTCTGGCATTAGCGATGTTGGATTCAAGGATGCCACTTAACAGAACTCAAGAACACCATGTCCTCATAAGTCCCATTGCTACTTAAGGTTAGTGAAATTTTTTCATATATTGTTTCTGTGCTTATCCTATTGCATAGTTTGATGAGTGAGTTTGCTCAATCTTAATTAAGAACCTGTTGGACTAAAATATTGCATAACAGTGTTTCATAATATTCACAAGTTAGAGATGGAGGATCTTACCATCATTGTCAATGATTTCTTCATGAATTAACTTTGGGATACCAAAAATCAACGTCAACGCTGCAGCTGATGCAGGCCAAAAGGCAACCCGCTTGAGTTTCATTTTCTCTGCTACTTCCAGGGCCCAGGCACAATTCTCATCAGCAATGACACAAGTGACTTTGTCACCTTCCCCTTGGTTGATATTTTCTATGAGCTCCTCCAACTTCCCAGGCATGATCCATTTTAATGCTTCAGTTAACTGCCCTAGTTCACTCCTGTCCTCCCAGGGTTCTAAGCCATCTGGAAGTGAAGCAAGATGGAGCTGATTCCTACTTATATGACTTTCATCAGCCAAGGCATTCACGACTCGCTTGTGATTATGCTCTGTGTTCACAAATGTGACTTTGAAACCATGATTAACTAAGCATTGTGAAAACTCCATCAAGGGAATTACATGCCCTTGTGCAGGATAAGGAATAGCTACAATATGCGGCTTGCTCATTTTATTTCTTTCTTGATTTTCCCTTTTCCACTTCTAGATGTTTTCAAATGCAGTTTCCTTATCATGCCATATATAGAGCAAGCTTGGGGCATTGGTTGAATAGCCATTACTGTAGGTTTTGTCTTCATGGGCATTGACCTTATTTGAACCCAGAGAAGGGAATCAATCATTTTGTCTCTTTCCTTTACAGGCCATTCATTATATCTATCTATTTGTTATTGAGTTCATGCCTATTTTAGTTTATTCTGTTGTAATCTTGTTGATGATACGGCTTTAGTATCATCATTCTGTTGTTTTATATTCTTGTTTTGTCACTGATGGAACTGCTTTCATTCTTTGTGGAAGTATTGAATTTAGGGCATGAGCGGTTTTGTTGCCGAAATGATCATTTTTTTTGGTATACTTACTAGCCAAAAATATATTTTAATGACAAAAATATTAATTACTTGAACCAGATCTATTATTATTAATAGTTGAACCAGATCTATTGGCACATTTTCTGTGTTGCCTTTTTCCTTTTGTTCATATTGAACGAAAAGGATAGGCGATTTGGCTATGCCTTCATCCATTCAATAAAGTTCTTAAAGATCCTGTGAGATTGGCCGCCTTCTTTGGTATTGGTCATGGCCATTTCCTTCAGTTTGGAAGCTCTTGCTTTGAAATTTTCATCACCAAGAAGTTGTTCCACCTTCTTGTTGATTTCTCCTTGTGGTATGATCCCACTTTCATTCTTGTTGAACTTCAATCCCACCTTCCAGACATCACAAATGTAGCTCTCATTAAGGAACTGGTCAGCAAAGTATGGCCAGCACAAGAAAGGAACCCCATTGCTTGCACCTTCCATGGTAGAGTTCCAACCACAGTGGCTTAAGAAGCAAGCAATGGAAGGATGAGCCAGAACCTTTTGTTGAGGTGCCCAACCCACCATCAGACCGCGAGAGGCTACTCGGTCTTGATATCCTGCTGGGTAGGGATCAGATGTTTTGTCAGTGATATCTGGCCTCACAACCCAGAGGAATGGCCTTTGGGACAGCTCAAGAGCCAGAGCCAGTTCTTGGAATTGGGTTCGATCAAAAACTGTGAAGCTGCCAAATGCAACATAGATGACTGAGCAGGCTGGTTGTTGATCCAACCACTGTAAGCAAGTTGTGTCTTGTGGCCAAAAGTAGCCTGCTGAATTTCCAAGCCGGCTGCTTGCCAAAAGCGGGC